TTTACTTATTTTTTAGTTTTCGGCTTAAATATTCTACTAAATATACATTTGTTGCTTAATAAGTAGTAAATCCGCTTCCAAATGTTTTATAAAGTTTTCCTTAATGCTCAAGGAAAATATTGCATGAAAATAAAAAATTTTGCATTTTTAACAAAAAAACGTGGGTGTTAGGAAAAAGAAAAAAAAGTAGAAAATAAATAAATAAAATAGAAAATGATACGATCGGTACTTCTCCACCGACTGAGTGGATGTTAAATCGCGAGGGAGATAGTGACTGCACCTCGTATAAGTCGCTAGTATCATAACGATCCTGGCTTTTCAAATGGCTTTTTTTTTCTTTTTCTTTTTTTTGTTGTTAATTTTTCTTGTATTTCTATTACCTTAACAACAAACTATCATATTCATGTTCTTCAAAATATGTTATTTCGTATAAAATATTTTAAAATTCATATCTAAACACTTGTAATCAACGATTTAGAATCTAAATTTAAAGATATTTAAATTTAATAATGGTTACTCAAATAAAGTAAATAAATTAGAATAGGGAAAGATCGGTAGTGTGGTACCGATCCTAGCCCTAAATCATCTTTCAATCTATTTATTTTCACCTTCGCTTTCAGTGAAGTTTTGAAAATTAAGGTAACACTTTTCGTTGGTATTCTTGAGGGTAGAACAATTTACAATGATTTGGGCCTCACTACCATATTTTTACTTATTTTTTAGTTTTCGGCTTAAATATTCTACTAAATATACATTTGTTGCTTAATAAGTAGTAAATCCGCTTCCAAATGTTTTATAAAGTTTTCCTTAATGCTCAAGGAAAATATTGCATGAAAATAAAAAATTTTGCATTTTTAACAAAAAAACGTGGGTGTTAGGAAAAAGAAAAAAAAGTAGAAAATAAATAAATAAAATAGAAAATGATACGATCGGTACTTCTCCACCGACTGAGTGGATGTTCAGTCGCGAGGGAGATAGTGACTGCACCTCGTATAAGTCGCTAGTATCATAACGATCCTGGCTTTTCAAATGGCTTTTTTTTTCTTTTTCTTTTTTTTGTTGTTAATTTTTCTTGTATTTCTATTACCTTAACAACAAACTATCATATTCATGTTCTTCAAAATATATTATTTCGTATAAAATATTTTAAAATTCATATCTAAACACTTGTAATCAACGATTTAGAATCTAAATTTAAAGATATTTAAATTTAATAATGGTTACTCAAATAAAGTAAATAAATTAGAATAGGGAAAGATCGGTAGCGTGGTACCGATCCTAGCCCTAAATCATCTATCAATCTATTTATTTTCACCTTCGCTTTCATTGAAGTTTTGAAAATTAAGGTAACACTTTTCGTTGGTATTCTTGAGGGTAGAACAATTTACAATGATTTGGGCCTCATTACCATATTTTTACTTATTTTTTAGTTTTCACTAAATATTCTACTAAATATACATTTGTTGCTCAATAAGTAGTAAATCCGCTTCCAAATGTCTTATAAAGTTTTCCTTAATGCGCAAGGAAAATATTGCAGGAAAATAAATTTTTTTTCATTTTTAACAAAAAAACGTGGGTATTAGACGGGCTCGATGCAGCCAAAACAAGGTGGACTCCGCTCACACATAACGAGTTGCACCTGGTCCATAGAAAACGAGGCGGGCTCCACTCGCAAAAGACGAGCAGCAAAACAAGGATATATATATATATATCTAAAGGTATTTGAATCTAAACAAAGTAAGGTAGGTTTGACAAAAAAATAAAAATAAAGTAAGGTAGGAAGGAAAAAAAATTCAATAGAAAAAGAAAAAAGCAGAAAATTAATTTTCTTTGTGCACCCATCTTCTTATTCAATGGATAAATATGTTGTTTTTTCAAAGTATTTGTGCGTGTTAATCGTTACAAATGATATTTTTACTCTATATTAGACTAAGAAAAAAGAAAGACTGATGATTTGAATTCGAAACTCAATAGGATGAAGAGGGAGGCCCAATCCATACCATGACAATCCACCATTTACTTGTGCATGTTCAATTTGGGCGTCGTCGACTGGCGAAGAAATTAAGTTTGCTGTTGAAGAGGCAGAATAACCTCGGATTGCTGTAGTGCTATAGTGCACAGAAGGTAATGAATTTCACCTTGCTTCGTCAATTTTAATTAGGGTTACGATTTGGGGTTTAGGTTTTGAAATTTGATTTGTATGATTGAGGATATGTGAAAGACGCTTTTTTTATTTCACTTGATACCAAGGTTGGAAAAGAAATAAATAATAAAGAGGAATTCGAAAAAAGCAAATAGGGACCGTTACATCAAGATAAAAAAATTGACAAAAATAAATGTAATCAGGTTTTAATCTGCCAAATATGAACCGTTAGATCAAAATCAAAAGATTGGCAAAAAAAAAAATTGAATGTTAATCTAGACTGTTGATCAACGGTCTAGAAATCGAACAGTTCACAATTGTTCAAATATTAGCATTGGACAGCTGGATCCCTTGCCACTTGGGGCGGAGCTGACCGTCACTTCCCATGCAATGGAGACAACATGCTCCCCCGTATATGAAGAATTTTCAAATCTAACATGTGAATAATACAGCGGAACAACATGAACCCGTTGTGGCCGTTTGACTTGTGAGAATCGTTACCGTTCACATGTTATGTACTTATATACATAGTTTTATTATATAAAGGAAGGTTCATTGATTAGGTAACAAGGACAACCAACGTTTCCATAAAATAATTGCAACCTAACATGGGATGGGAATTTTATACGCATAGTAGTTTCTCTCCCCCAATATCTCTTTCTGTTTCAGACAAACTGCTTCATCCTAATTAATTTTCTACCTTCCCAATCTAGAGTACCATGACATTCGGAATTTGTAATGCTGATATCAATTCACTGGTGGAAATCACCTCAAGAAAGATCATCAAACCATCATCTCCCACTCCTCATCTCAACAGAATTCTTAACCTCTCTCTTTACGACCAATTTTTTCCTTCGACTCTATATCCAACCATCCTATGGTTCTACGAAAACCATAACGATTCCGGTTTTGCTTCCGAAACTTCAGAGACCAGAACATCTCAGCGCTTGCAAGAGTCTCTATCAAATGCTTTAGTTCACTTCTATCCACTGGCCGGCTCAAAAGCTCGGCGTTGGTTGAGTGCAACGATGAAGGGGCTCATTTCCTGGAGGCCCAAGTTAACTGCCAGCTTTCAGACTTTCTCAAACAACCCAATCCCGAGTTGATCAACCACTTTATTGCCGATAATGATCCCGAAACCGCCCAATTAGGTTTGGGACATGTACTTTTGTTTGTTCAGATTAGCTTTTTCAACTGTGGAGGAATCGTTGTTGCTATATCCCCTTCACACAAGATTGCAGATGCAGCATCACTCCTCACATTCGCGCGAACATGGGCAGCAATAAACCGCAACGATGGAATCCTCGGAGTGAAATTGGTGCAACCGGAGTTTACTGGAGGGTCTTTGTTGCCTCCTAGCAGAGATTTACCCTTGCTGTCCATCAACGCCACATCGAAAATCCAAAGTCAAAATTTAGTTACAAGAAGGTTTGTGTTCGATGTCTCAAAGATAGCCGGTCTGAAGGCCAAAATTGGGAGTGCAGTCCAAACCTTCATCCCATCACATGTAAACCTAGTTCTGGCTATCATATTGAAATGTTCTGTTGCTGCTTCCCGTCAATGCCAGCCTGAGAGTTCGACGAGGGCAACGGTGCTGTCCCAGATGATAAGCTTCCGCAAAAGAATGGTCCCCGAGATATCAGAAAATGTCATGGGGAACTGGTTTTGGCCACTACAAGTGGTATTCAGAGCAAATGAGACCGAGTTACACGAGTTAGTGAGCAATATGAGGCAAGCAGCGACAGATTTCTGGAAGATATTTAAATGTGAGGAAGGATTCTTGGTGGTGTCTGAGTTCATGAGAAAGCAGGCTGATCCTTTTAAGAGGAACGAAGGCGTAAACTTTTACAGGACCACAAGCTTGTGCAAGCTTCCTGTATATGAAATGGATTTTGGCTGGGGAAAACCTGCGTGGGTCACCAACCATATCGTCCAAAAGAACGTAATTCGGTTGCTGGACACAAAACAGCAAGATGGTATCGAAGCTTGGGTGACCCTTGATGAACAAGAAATGGCCATATTTGAGTCTGATCAGGAGCTTCTTGAATTTGCTTCCGTCAACCCCAGCATCATTTGCCATTCCGGGCCGGTCCTGAGGTTTCTAAGGCCCAGAGCAAGGATCTAAATTATTTTTCTCGACACTTATATTTCACTTTATCATCATTCTATCATTCTTTGAATGCCTGAAATTATTTGTTAATATCGGAATAGTTCCCTCCTTTTATTGATCAAATTAATTTTTTTTGTGCACCTATCTTCTTATTCGATGGATAAATATATTGTTTTTTCAAAGTACTTGTGCGTGTTCATCGTTACAAATGATATTGTTACTCTATACTATACTAAGAAAAGGGGAAGAATGATGGTTTGAATTCGAGACTCAATAGAATGAAGAGGAAGGCCTAATCCGTACCATGACAATCCACCATTTACTTGTGCATGTTCTTTGTCTCTCCACCACCTCGGACTGTTGTAGTGCACAGAAGTAATGAATTTCACCTTGCTTCGTCAAGGGTTTCGATTTGGGGATTAGGTTTTGAAATTTGATTGGTATGATTTAGGATCTGTGAAAGACCCTCTTTTTATATCACTTGATACCAAGGTTGGAAAAGAAATAAATAATAAAGAGGAATTCGAAAAAAGCAAATATGAACCGTTATATCAAGATCAAAATATTAACAAAAAAAAAAATTTGTAACCAGGTTTTAATCTTCCAAATATGGACTGTTAAATCAAAATTAAAAGATTAGCAAAAAAATTGAATGTTAATCTGGACTGTTGATTAACTTTCTAGAAATTGAACAGTTCACAATTGTTCAAATATTTGGTTTTGGGTCTCAACATTGGAGCCGGTCGGCCTTAAGAGTGAAACGCTGCGTTCTGTGCCACAAATGCTGGGGGAAGCCAATAAACGAAGGCCGCATACTTTCGTTTCAGAGTTCAGAGCCGGTTCGGAGTGTTTCTCTCCCTCACACTCTCTCTCAATTTCTCTCGAACATTCTTCTGCTCTCGGGAAAGCTCAGAGGAGGCGCGATAACCACCACCATGGTTGTGGCGGCCGGAGCTTCTTCTCGGGCTGAGGTGCTCACGATGTTCCGCTCTTTCCTTCGAGTGGCTCGTAAGTTCTCCGACTACAACATCAGGGAGTACACGAAACGCCGAGCCGTCGACGGTTTTCGTCTGAATCGGAACCTTTCGGACCCGTCTGCCATCTCCTCCGCCTTCTCAGACGGGAAGGCTCAGCTGGAGGTCGCCAATCGGCAGGCTCTCGTTTACTCTCTCTACGCTCCGAAGCTCAAGAGCGTCATGGAGGTTCAGAACCCAATCAAGTACTGAAATTGATTCGTTTCCAGGTAAAATCCCCTGTCTTGTACACTAAATATGATTAATTTTCCTTAATATTGTTGGGTTTTTTTTTTTTTTAAAATTTATTGGAGCAATATTCTAATCTAATTCGAATTTGCTTGCGCCATTTCTTCAATTTGTTGGGTTTTTGTTAATCTGGGTTTTATTAGGGTTTTTGGTTATGTCTGATTAATGGGGTTTGTGTGCATAATTTGGGCAAGGAAGTAAAAATTGAAACTTTTGGTCTCAATTGCTGTAGGAAATGCTGGGAATCCTAGAACTCTTTTATTTCTTAATTCCAACTTAGCCTGCATGATCTGAGTCACTGGGTGTTTTGCTTCTTTCTTGGAAAGATTATGTGTCAAACTTAATGCACAAATAACGATATCAAATCACAAATTTGGCTCCTCAATGTTTGATTTGTCAATGTATAGAAGGATGTCTTGTCCTCCCGAATGCTCTTTGGCAAAATTATTCCTTGATAGTCAGTTTTGCAAAAACGAGTTCAAAGAGGTTCGGTACATTTAACCTCTAAAAGTATCCTTAAAGTCGGTTTTGCAAAGACAAGTTATATTGAAATATGTCCGAGGATGTTCAGTACACCTACTCCAATAAAAATCCATGCCAGCCGGAAAGACATGCTCTAACTTCTAACTTTTAACCATAAAACATGATACTTGGATATCAGAGTAAATTCCGCTGCGTGATTTGTCTAAACTGTACAACAAGCATTTGATTTTGCAAAGATGAGTTCTATTTATTGGTCATGAGTCATGACTTATAACAACAGTCTGATAATCGAGATTATGCATTGCTTCATTTACCTTTAGTCATGGTTGAGCCAACTGTTCTCGATACTGACCACTGTTCTTTGCACATGACCAACCCAATTTGAGACTTGTTCCCCATGTGACCTCCTGATGGGTGGCTACTTATGTCTTGTGGATCTCTCTATATAGCGTAATTGTTGTACTTTCGATGTTTGTAGCGGTCGTGACATATTGTTGTCACAATTCTTTGATTTGTGCAGGTTTGCGAGATTTTCACTTCTGTTGACGAGTTATTTCAGGGAACTTTTGATATGCTGTAGCTCATTGGACTCCTGGGGGCTTACGCTCTCTATTTTAAGCCTTTAAGTTTGAGTTTTTGGGTTTAAAGGTGTAATTAGTTATTAATTTTGAGCACCCTTGACCAATATCTGTTTGCATTTTTTTTGCAATAAAGAATAATTTTATAACCTTTCTTCTGGTACGGATTTGAAGTTCAATTTTCATAAAACATCAACGATTATGCAAAACCGTAAATCATTGGAGATGTGATTGTTGTGGCCTATCTATCTTATTCTTGGTTGTCACTTGTAGTGAACGAGAAGAAAACTCGAAAAATCATCTACTCATGTGGTGAAACTTGCTCCAAATTCAAAATATTCAATTTGTAAGATTTTTGCTTTCGGAAATGAAGGGTGTCCTCTAATTTAGGATGCAGGAGGGGATTGGAATTGAACGGTATATCGTTATGGAGGCAGAGCCTTCCGGTGAATGCGGAGCTAAGGTAGTGGACTCGTTTGTGGGATTGGAAGGCGAAGGCTAGGACATTGCGTTGTAGAGGACGTCGAAGCTTTGGTGGTGTTGGATGATGGCAAAGAGGGTGGAGATTGACTCGTCACAGTTAGTACGAGGTGGGATTGTAGAGCCGACATTGGTCATTGGGTATGGATTTTACTTCCGAAGATGATGCTAGGTCATTGGACGTAGGATTCGGTTATATCTAGAGAGTTTTGTTGTTCAAGAGAAGGGTTTCGCTGGGAGAGATGCAAAGAGAGATTCGGGGGATGATGCAAAGAGGAGCGTGCTAGGGCAATCACTACGAAGGTTGCAAGGCACTGATGACCGAGGAAGCGCGACAATGGGAGAGGGTAAGTGGCGAAACTAGAGAAGAACCAGAAGCATGAGCCGATGACTCTTGCTATGCGGCATTTTCTTAGGTCGAATAAGCAGTATTTTGATCCCAACAAAAGTTGTAGCAACTCTTTCAGTTCTCCTGGATTGTCTTTGGATGCTTCCGCAGATGTCTGGGCTGATCGTAGCAGTTTTGGACAGACGGAATTTGCTGTGCAGAGTGATGTCAATTATATTGGAAGAGACTGGTTGAGCACATTCGGCATTGAAGCCCAAAGTTTGCTTGTTTTTTTCCAAGGTCATGCAAGCCAGTGGTCCTGCACTTTATTATGCAATATAGCTTGACGAAGAAGAGATGCTGAGTAGCGGCTTTGTGGTTGACACAAGATCAAGAATTGCTTGCAACTGTTTCTCCGATGTTGTGGCCTTCGATACTACTCATCAAGTGAACCAGTATAAAATGCCGCAGTTGCAGATTTTGAAGAACTTGGCTTTCTGTATTCCTTTTTAGCCCGTGAAATAAGTCTCGGTAATCTGCATTAATTTTCTCGTTCATTTTCTCTAACATGAACGTTGCATTATGTTAGTCTTTGCATCTGTTGTGAGAAAGTTTAGGTACGAAAATAAATGTTACCAGGCCATACACCTCATAGGTAAACATTGCAAATGTAAGAACAAGCAGACGATGGTAAAAAGTCGAAAGAAATTTGGTTAAATTCATCTTCCAAAATTCATAGAATACTTCAGGTGGAAGGTTACATCTTACAGAATGGTTTTCAGCCTCCCTCTCTCAGCAGCAGCAAGGATGGATCGAACACCCATCGGACATGGTGTTCACTAATCGATCAAAACCTAATTATTAGAAGACATTTGTGGACCATACAATGGCGAAGACCTAATGTCCACCCGGAGAGCCACACAAAAATTGTAAGACCCCAAAACAAAAACTCAGGTTACATCCCTTCATTTCAAAGTTTCACAGCCTTATTTCTCTTTATGGTATCAGCTTTCGACTCCATCTTCACCGGCAAAGGAGCTGAGAATAGCAAATACTCATTCTGACCTTGATCACGGCCTCTGGTTTCATACATATCTTCTCTTCTCGGAGTCATTCTAGCTCCGGGGTTTCTTTCTCCATCACTACTGGCCTGTGGTGATTCGCCATTCTCGGTGTGCGCCTCCTCGTCGTCCTCCTCAGTCTCCTGAGCAATGCCCTTAACTTCTTCAACCTCACTGCAACGGTTCTCAACAAGCTCTCCATGATCATCACTAGAATCACTCCCATCCCAACCCGAGACTGGTTCATCGGAGTTGCTAAAGACCCGATACACATTCCCATTCTCTGCAAAGCTCACATTTTTCTTGACCTTAGGTTGAAGCCCATGCCTTTTCACCAACACCCCATTTTTAAATCGAAGTCTAAGGTTTTCTTCATCTTCGTCACTGTCACGCTGAAATCCTTCAAGCTCCACATCTTCCTCATCATTCTCAGCAATTCTAGCAAACCCGCGAATCTTCTCGATCCTATCCTTCAAATTCTCAATCTTCTCCCTCTGATCCCATCCCATATCGCGACCGCACTTGGCGGGTAAAACCCGTGGTTTGTTAACATTTTGACCAAACCTCACATTCTTCACTGCTTTCAGTGAAAGCCCATGCCTTTTCATAACAACCCCATCAATGAACTCCAAAAACCTCACCAAATCTCTGCTGATCGACCTCTTCCCATCCCTAACAATCGGATCGCCGCCCTGGAAACAAAATGCACAACCAAAAACCTCAAAGAAAACAACCAAAAAAGGCAGTAACTTTATAAAAAATTAGTAAAATTGCAATTACCCATGAAATTATTTACCTGAATCGTGTCGAGCTTGAGAAGTAAATTGATGGATTTCTGAGAAATGGCGTGAAAATCCAAGTGGGTTTCACTGGAAATCGAGGATTTGAGAGAGGTGAAAGCAGACTTGATAAATGCGAGATCTTTGAGCTGCCTGAGGGTTCGGGATCTGCGAACGAGGAACGCACGGAAGTGGGTTTGAATCACTCGGGCGGCGGAGTCTCTGAGAGAGCGGGAGTACGAAGAGTGAGAGCAGTGCGAGGCAGAGGAGTAGTGGTGGAGGGAGGATTCGAGGGCTTCAATGCGGGAAAGGAGGGAGGAGATAAGTTGGTCTTGTGGTGGTTGTTGGCGGGAACGGTGTTTTGGGTGGTGGGCATTGTGGGTGTGGTGAGGGTTTTTGGGGCGGAGATTGTGGTGGGGAGAGTAGGGATCTGGTGGGGTGGATTGGAGGAGCTGAGAAGCGAGGGCTTGGAGAAGTGGGTCTGTGGCTGGTGGCGGTGGCGGGTAGGGGTTGTGGGTTTGGGTGCAGCAGCAGGTGTTATAGGAGCTGGTGCAGCAAATGGCGGCGGTGGGGGGTTGAGGTTGGTGGTGGTGAGCGTGGTGGAGTTGGTGGTGGGAGGCCATTCGTGGGAGCCTGAAAGGGCTGACCTGATAAGTTTAGCTACACATTTACCTATTGCTTAGCATGTGACATTGTTACACCTTTTGATCAGAAAGTGATGTCAGTATGACGTGGCATGGGCCCAGGCTGATGTTTTCATTTGTTGGTCTTTGTATGGTCAATGGTTTTGGAGTCCATATGGTTAAATGGCCCTACATGTCCCTTATATTTGGGCCCTATGAATTGGTATGGTTGGCACCCAAGTAAGTGCATTGGGTCAATCAAAGGTCCAAAAATTCCAAATTGAATTTGGTTTGAGAATTTTTTTTAGAGTTTTAACGAAAAACATACACTACCGTTCATTTTAACAAAAAAAATCATATTTTTACACTAAAAAGTCAATCATGGTACTATTCAATTTACCCTTTATTTTGTTCTTATTATTAAAATTGAAAGTTTTCAAGCACTTTTCATTAATTTTCCTAATTTTTTTGTTTTTGTTTTTGTTTTGATACAACGATGCATAGTGGGAATAAATTAGTATTGAACTCGTGATTTTGAAATTCTAATCTAAAATTACTCATTTACAGTAAAAAAAAAGAATATCACTAGACTGTAATAAAACACTCAGAAATACAAAATTCATTTCACAATTCAGAATTGTGATTTTATTACAAATGGTCATCGAAATGGATCTAACTTCTCATTTTAATTTCTTAATTTCAAAATCAATCAAGGTCGTCTCTGAAGATTGTTGTAAATCAATTTGATCATTCATTTACGATTTCGTTAGTTATTATGTTAATGTGCTGAAATGACACACATGTAAAGTCTATAAGTCTAATAAAAGATGTCACGCTGATTATAAACAGATTATAGGGACCCAAAAGTATATAGTCAGCAGTTTTGGTTACCAGCTTTCTTCAAAAACTGAACCAACGGTTGTCATCGCACGTGACAAAAAATCTGAACCAACGGTTGTCATCGCTCGTGACAAAAAATCTGACTCATGGGCACCTCGTAACGCCTCTTCAGTTCATCCAATGATATGCTTACAAGTCTGCGGTGCAAACAAAACGAGCCCGAGCTATTAACCCGCGCAATCATACTCCTAATAAAATATTATAACTGTCAATTTATTTAAAATAAGAATTTATCCTGAAAAATAGCTCCAAAATAATTCTTCGTATTTACTATTTTATTTATGAAAAATAAATACAAAAGAAAATGGTAGGGATCCAGTGCAAGCGCGACTACAGGAAGCCATGCAAATATTGCACTCAGCTGGATCCCAAACAGTCAAAGAGTTGACTCATCGTAATCAACAAATAAAGGCATGCCGTGTGGTGTGTGGATGTGGTATGCAAATCAAAATTGCCGTTTAAAGTAGAGTATTACTCAAATCTCAACTTTTTTGGTTGCTTTTCACAGATTTTTTTTTATGATACTTTAATAAAAAGTTCTTAGTACTGTTTATTTTAGCAAAAAATCATATTTTTACATTAAAAAGTCAATGCTGATACTATTTACTTTACCATTTATTTTATCCTTATCGTTAAAACTCAAAGTTTTCAAGCCATTTTCATTAGTTTTTTTTTAATTGTGTCAGTAACACCGTCTTGTATACCAAGTGTCATGATATAAATCATTGATTTTTTTTTTTTCAATATCCAATTACTTGCATTATCACTTTGTATATCGAGTCGTGTTGCCGACACACTAAATCGCTTCTTTTCACAATCAACATTTCTAAATTACTTTAAATTAATTTTTAATATGAAGATTCAAATTCAGATGAAAGGAAATAAACTTACCCTTATGACTATACTTAATTGTTGAAATTAACCACATATGGTTCACATGATCATGCGTTAGTAGATTCAAATATTGTATAATAAGATTGCATACGTAAACACTTCATTGTTTGCATGAAAGAGTGGACATCGTAACTTAGCTAAGAAGTAAAATTTACTCAAAATATGATCACATCTATTTTAGTCTAATAATGTATTATCATGTATAAGTTTTTTGAAAAAGAAACATTTCACATAAGATAAAACCAGATCTACCAAAATCTCAATTATTATATGAATCAAGAAGTGGAAAGTGCATATTAGTTAATCCAATGACATGCTTACAAGTGGACGGTGCTAATATAACGAACCAGAGCTATTAACCCACGCAATCATCACCTAACAGAATATTAAAACTGTCAATATATTTAAAATAATAATTTATCCTGAAAAATAGCTCCAAAATAATTCTTCATATTTACTATTTTATTTATGAAAAATAAATACAAAATAAACGGTAGAGATCAAGTGCAAGCGCGACTACAGAAACCAAGCAAGTATTGCACTCAGCTGGATCCCAATCAGTCAAAGAGTTGACTCATCGAAATCAACAATTAAAGACATGCTGTGTGGATGTGGCAAGCAAATCAAAATTGGTGTTTAAAGTAGAGTATTACTCAAATCTAAACTTTTTTTGTTCCCTTTCACGTAACTTTTTTCAACGAATTTTAACGAAAAACTTTCGGTGCTGTTCACTTTAATGAAAACTATATTTTTACATTAAAAAGTCAATTATGGTACTATTTACTTTACCTTTTATTTTGTTTTAATCGTTAAAACTCAAAGTTTTCAAACTATTTTCATTAGTTTTTTTTATTTTCTTATGCGACAATACGGTCTGGTACAGTGTCATAATATAAGTCATTTGATTTTTTTTTTCAAATATCTAACTATATGCATTATCATTTCATGTAAATACTTTAAATTAATTTTTAATAAGAAGATTCAAATTTGGATAGAGGAAAGAAACTTACCTTTATGACTATACTTAATTGTTGAAATTAATCACATATGGTATATATTTTTTCCCATCGTCGTGCAGTATTAGATCCAGATATTGTACAATAAGATCGCATGTGTAAATATTTCATTCTTTGAACGAAAAAGTGGACATCATAACTTAGCTAGAAGTAAAATTTACACGAAATATGATCACATAAGTTTTAGTATAATAATGTATTGTCACGTATAAATTCTTCTAAAGAGAAACATTTCACATAAGATGAAACCACATCTACCAAATATCAATTATTATATAAATCAAGAAGTGGAAAGTACATTTTATTAACAGAAACAGAGTGGGGCCCCTGATAATTTGGAAATGGACTTTTATGTGAGAGAGAGAGAGAGTGAAGTCTTGTGAAAGGAGATAAGAAGGAAGATACTCCTAAGCTCAGTAGTATCCGCATCGCATTGGCAAACAAACGAACGAGTCTGAGTGACTCAGAGAAACTCAGAGACTGACTGTATCTTCTTGTTGTTCTGAGAGAGAGAGAGAGAGAGAGAGAGAGAGCATATTACAGTAATGGCAGCTTCCCAATTCTCTGCAACTCGCAGCGGAGCAGAGACAGCGTGGCATTGCAAATCGCAATCCAAACTGATCGATTTCGGTTCCAGGAAGAACAAATCCAAGCTTTTGTTCACAAGGACATTGAATCGGACTCGGTCGTTTTCGTTCTCGGTGAAGAGCGTTCTGGACAAGCCTCACGAGATCAAGAATCCGATCATCGAACAAGGTCCTCCTCCTTATATTCTCTGTTCTTAGATATATATATATATATATATATATATATATATATATTTAAAAAAAAACCCATGCTTTGATTGTTCATCACTCGCATTTTACCTCGTTAGTTTCAGAAAAGGATTGGGAACCACCATCTGGTTGTGATTAATTTACATGAAAAATGTATTAAAAATCGATTCTTTGTTAGTCTGATGGTCATAATTTGCTATCCGTTTTTCCAATCAAACCCAACTTTTGAGGAGTTTCTGGAAGTGGGGTTTGTTGATTAGATGGCTAAGAGCTTGAAATCATCTGGTTAAGCTGAATTTTTGCTATCTTGATCGATAGATGGCACGAATTAGCTGATGGGTTCGGATCCTCTTTTTTTATGCTGACGTGGTAAATATGTGGTAGGTTGTTGGAGGGTTTCGGATCATCCTTATCAAATTCTCAATTTTGACATATATATGAGAGATTGCGCCTTTTTTCGTATGTTCTAATGTAATGACTCCAGATATTGTGTTGTACTCAATTTAGCACTTTGCATTTTTTTACTTAGATGCTGCAAGCGAATTCAGCTCATTCACACCTGATGCTGCCTCCATCGCTTCGAGCATCAAATACCACGCAGAATTCACCCCGTTGTTTTCTCCGGAGAAATTTGAGCTTCCAAAGGCCTTCTTTGCAACTGCACAAAGTGTTCGTGATGCGCTCATTGTTAACTGGAATGCAACAAATAATCATTATGAAAAATTGAACGCAAAGCAGGCATATTATTTGTCAATGGAATTTCTACAGGTTCGTTATGAACTCCCTGAATTCATTCCCCACAAGTGTGGATGTACACTTCTGTCACTTATAGCTTGCAATATGCTTCATTTCATAGTGTTCTGTTTTTGTAGGGTAGAGCGCTGTTAAATGCCATTGGTAATTTAGAGCTTGATGGTGCATATGCGGAAGCTTTAAGCAAGCTTGGACACAAATTAGAAAATGTTGCTAACCAGGTGAGGGTCCAGTCTTTACCTTTTCATCAAAATTTAGTTATGAACATTCATAATTTTAATATTGCATTATAAGCAACCGGTCACTTCTATAAATTTTGCTTAAAGTGTGTGTGTGTGTTTGTCTTTTTCGGCATGTTTTGTGTCCGTGTGTTTGTACAACTAGCTTATATAGATGATTTGATTATAGGAGCCGGATGCTGCACTTGGAAACGGAGGTCTTGGTCGGCTTGCCTCTTGCTTCTTGGACTCTTTGGCAACGTTAAATTATCCAGCATGGGGTTATGGGCTTCGGTACAAGTATGGCTTATTTAAGCAGCTGATTACTAAAGATGGTCAAGAAGAAGTTGCTGAGGATTGGCTTGAGGTATGCATGCTTTATTTGTTCATCTTTCGTTTCAACTACTTCATTGTCTTTAAAGGTTTTTGGTGAAATCTTTATGCCTTATTATTTGTTGAATCTTGCAGATGGGAAATCCCTGGGAGATTGTGAGAAATGACGTCTCCTATCCTGTCAAATTTTATGGCAAGATTGTTACTGGTTCGGATGGAAAACAACATTGGATTGGAGGAGAAGACATAGATGCTGTTGCTTATGATGTTCCAATACCAGGATACAAAACTAAAACCACAATCAACTTGCGGCTTTGGTCAACGAAAGCTTCATCACAGAACTTTGATTTATATGCTTTTAATTCTGGAGATCACACGAAAGCATCTGAAGCTTTAGCAAATGCTGAAAAGGTTGTTTATTGTACTCCTTTCCTTTCTGTTTTCTTTCTTTTCCAATTTCCAATTTGATCAGAAAATACAGACTTCGGGTTTTCTGATGTCTTATTTTTCTTTTATTAGTTATTTGGTGTGAAGGGGGGCACTTGCTGCATTCTTTTAAAGAACTTATATTTAATATATATGTGTTCCAGCGGAAATCTCTACTTATCAGGCATATTCTTAGTGACCAGTTATCGTCTGCTTTCGGGTTTCTTTTGTTATGTTGCTATTTTAACCACATATGGTTCAATAGGTAAAATAGCTGTTTGTTTAATGATTAACAGATTTGCTACGTACTTTATCCTGGGGATGAATCAATGGAGGGCAAGACACTTCGTTTGAAGCAACAATATACTTTATGTTCTGCTTCTCTCCAAGATATTGTTGCGCATTTTGAGAGAAGATCCGGAGCAAATGTCAAATGGGAAGAGTTCCCCGAGAAGGTGGCAGTGCAGATGAATGATACTCATCCAACTCTCTGCATTCCTGAACTGATGAGAATTTTGATTGATTTGAAGGGTTTGGACTGGAAGGAGGCCTGGAGTATTACTCAAAGGTAACACCTTTTGTGATTTGTGGGAATACTTGTTAGTTCATTCTTAACTGTAGCAACTTCTTTTCCCTTACATCCTGTCACATGTGTTCTAGGACGGTTGCATATACAAACCATACTGTTCTACCTGAGGCCTTGGAGAAATGGAGTCTGGAACTTATGGAGAAGCTGCTTCCTCGACATGTTCAGATCATACAGATGATAGATGAGGAGGTAATGCTGGATTATGTACAAAAGTTAAACAGTTCATACCTTTGGAGTTTATAAAATTGACTGATTCCTTGCATTTGCATATTCTGCAGCTCATTCAGACCATAATTTCGGAATATGGCACAGCAGATTATGATTTATTAGAGAAGAAACTTAAGGAGATGAGAATATTAGAAAATGTTGACTTGCCTGCCAAATTTGCGGATTTAATTGTTAAACCCAAAAAGAGTTCCACTGCTGTCTCGAGTGAAGAAATTGAAGAGTCAGAAGAGGAAGATGAATCTGCTGATGCCGAAAAGAGTTCCACTGCTGTCCTGAGTGAAGAAATTGAAGAGTCAGAAGAGGAAGATGAATCTGCTGATGCCGAAAAGAGTTCCACTGCTGTCCCGAGTGAAGAAATTGAAGAGTCAGAAGAGAAAGATGAATCTGCTGATGCCGAAAGGAGTTCCACTGCTGTCCTGAGTGAAGAAATTGAAGAGTCAGAAGAGGAAGTTGAATCTGCTGATGAAGAAAAAGTACCTGTGAAGAAACGCAAAGAGGAAAAAATGAAAAAGGTTGTGGTGGAACCACCGAAGTTAGTACGTATGGCGAATCTCTGTGTTGTGGGTGGTCACGCAGTAAATGGCGTTGCTGAAATACACAGTGAAATAGTGAAAGATGAAGTATTTAATTCATTTTATAAGGTAAGCCTTGACAGTTTTAGTAAAGACGAGGTTCTTTCAATGTTGAAAAATTGCTCTTATTATTGATCTCTAACCTGCAATTTTGGCAGTTGTGGCCTAATAAATTTCAAAACAAAACAAATGGGGTGACACCAAGAAGATGGATCCGCTTCTGTAATCCAGATTTAAGTAACATTATAAAAAAGTGGATTGGCACGGAAGACTGGGTCTTAAATACTGAAAAACTGGCTGAATTACGAAAGGTAAAACTCACAAGACTGAATTACTTAGAGATTATGTTGACTTTTACATAATTTTTGGAGTATCGTTGTTATGGCCATGTACTTATCTCAGTTATTTGGTTTTGTGATAGTTTGCTGACAATCAGGATCTCCAAACCCAATGGAGGGAAGCAAAAAGGAACAACAAGTTGAAAGTTGTGTCATTGATCAAAGAAAGAACGGGATATTCTGTCAACCCGGATGCAATGTTTGATATACAGGTAATTTCTATGCATTCAAATCTCCTTCAATTGTATATTAAATAGATAGAATCCCGCAAAGCCAACTTTGTGCATAGTTGGTTTATTCACTGCACAAAATTTCCTTGTGTTTCTCATCATGCCTCGATCAAAGTTTTCTCTTCTTATTGGAATGTTTCTGTTCAGGTGAAGCGCATTCATGAATACAAGCGACAACTGATGAATATTATGGGAATTGTTTACCGCTACAAGAAAATGAAAGAAATGAGTGCTTCAGGAAGGAAATCAAAGTTTGTTCCACGTGTTTGTATGTTTGGAGGGAAAGCATTTTCTACGTATGTGCAAGCCAAGAGAATTGTGAAATTTATCACAGATGTAGGGGCAACCATTAATCATGATCCTAGTATCGGTGATCTACTGAAGGTATGGAGATCTTTGATGTTAATAGGGTTCTTGCACTGACAACTTGATAAAACAAGCGATTTTGGAATGTTTTATTGACTTGCAGTTAATATAAGTTGGCTCTGTAAAAGAACCAACACATGGAATATCTTTATGTGTGTGTATTTTAGATTGGCTGTAAATTCATCTGCATTACTGACCCACTAATTTATAAAATTGATTGTTATATTAGGTTGTCTTCGTCCCCGATTACAATGTCAGTGTTGCTGAACAGTTAATTCCTGCAAGTGAGCTCTCACAGCACATCAGGTAAATCAGTTTTATCTGTCATGATTCACTTTTTCACTGGCCACATGATTTTTCTGTCTCTGAGTGGTTAATGGAGAAACATAAGCAGGAATTGGTTTTAAACTTTTTCCGCTGCTTAGGTTTTTAGCAATAATTGATATTTTAGTAAGAAAAAAATGGGTTTGGCTTGGTTTGCGAGAATAATCAAGAGTCAAACTCAAGCAGATTAGCTGGGGAAGGTGTAGTTTTTGCCGTATCCCACTTGAAGTGCATCAATAAACTTGTAACTCGTAGACTAGAGAGTTCAGAGCATTGTGTATTAAACTAAAAATCTAGGTGAGCCTTCCTTGTGTTGGATAATATATCATGGGATCTATATTTTATGGAACCCGTACAAGGCGCTACAATATACTAATGTATACACTCACAAACCAACCCTTATGTTGTATTGGCCTCTTATTAATTGTTATTTATTTGTAGTACCGCGGGTATGGAAGCCAGTGGAACCAGCAACATGAAGTTTGCAATGAATGGCTGCATCCTCATTGGGACTCTAGACGGTGCCAATGTTGAGATAAGAGAAGAGGTTGGGGAAGACAACTTTTTCCTCTTTGGTGCTAAAGCTCACGAGATTGCTGGGCTGAGAAAAGAACGAGCTGAGGGAAAGGTTGGTCTCGATAACCAAATTATTGCCTTTGTGCCCGTGCTTTCAAGTTTTTCGAAAGACTGATCCATTGAAAATGCTTCAAAGAACAGAAAATATTTCTTTCTTTATCAGATGCGTCTCTAATGAAATTTTGATGCCTCTCTTAAATCCTTTATTCAGTTTGTTCCGGACCCACGTTTTGAAGAAGTCAAGGAATTTGTCAAAAGCGGTGTTTTTGGGTCATACAGTTATGACGAACTGATTGGATCCCTGGAAGGAAATGAAGGATTTGGCCAGGCAGATTATTTCCTTGTGGGCAAGGACTTCCCCAGTTACATAGAATGTCAAGAGAAGGTCGATGAAGCATATCGAGACCAAAAGGTGAGTTCTCCATGCATGCATTCCCTTGTTTGCTGCTACATGCTACACATTTCTCCTTGATATTGATACATTGCTGGCATACATTCCCTCTGCTTAATTTCATTGTACTTTACATTCCCAAGCAATATTTTGAGATTCGCGGCTAATGCTTTTACCTGATGTTTGTTGGGAGCAGAGATGGACAAGAATGTCGATCCTGAACACAGCAGGCTCGTACAAGTTTAGCAGTGACAGGACCATTCACGAATATGCTAAGGACATATGGAACATCAACCCCGTCGAGCTGCCTTAGAAGTTTTCTTCTTGGAACCAAACACGGTCTTACCACGTCGTTGTGATGACCCCCCTGGCTTTTATTGTTCCCCTCCCTCTTTCTTTCTCATGTGAATAAAATGCTCGGAATAAAAGGGCAGCGTTTGGTTGCTACACTAGTATAGTAAGTGCTCGGAAAAAAGTGGTTATTTGAAATAAGCCCCACCATCACGTATGTATAGTGGATATTCCGAACAAAGGCAGTGAGGCACCATCTATATTTATCGTTTGGTTCAGTAAAAGTTTAGGTTTTTTCTGTTCTCAAATAGCCAAATTAATGAGGGTTATCACATTCCACCCCATTTACCTACAACGTATATTCAGTGTGAAACTTTCATGATCGAAACCGTTCAGTCTTTTAATCTTGATCATCTTTACGGAAAATCATCGGATATCGCTAGTCATCTAAATGTGTGAAATAAATCAATTGTTCATTTCGAATATGCTACTTGGTACTTATACTGTTGATTTATTTGATACATTTAGATAACTAAACAATACCTAATTCGAATGATTTATTGTAGAGATGATTTTCAAATGAAAATTTAGAGACTGAACATTTTCGAATATAAAAAATTTTACGGTAAAAATACGTTATTTGCATTAGAAAAAAATCATCTCTCTAAGATTATGGGCAGGTAGAGAGAACCACACTCTCACATCTTAAGATGTCTTTTTATAGTGGGCATTGCAAGCACATGGCCAGAAGAGCACATAGATCGATTCAAGTAGTGATCCCATCCACCCTCACATGATGTTTAATTTTGTTCTGCACATATATATGGCACAAATTATTTTGCATATTCAATTCTTGTGTGTGCATCACTGCAACAAAACATGCTACCCTTAATTAAAGCAATTTTAGCTCCCGTGACAATATGAATACGTCCTGAATCACTTGTAAATGTTCGTATTTAATACATGTTTATATCCTATAAAATCCGCACCCGTAAAGTTTACTGCAAGCCAAACTTACAAGTCAAAGATTGTAGTTCTTAAAGCCTTGAATCTAGGATGTAAACGGATATTGAGTTTGAAATGCACTTTAAAGTTGTGCGGTTGGAGTGTTTTGGATCAAGGCAAGGGCATCTTTTCATACTTGCAAAAGAAGATTGATACGTAGAGGGAAAGAAGTAAACAATATGTATGTTATGGTTTATCACGTATTCGGTATGACTGTCTGACTGGACTAATTCGTACCGAGTAAGACTATAAAATTTGGTTAGAACCAAAATATAAGGTGTTCCCATATTTTTTGAGAGGTACCCTACAAATGACATGGACGGACATCTTACACAAGTTTTAAAAAGGTCCCCAGATGAGGTGTTCTGTTCAAACTTTATGGAATTAAAAGCAAAAGAATGGAAAAAAGAAGGGGAAAAAAGTTGACATTTCTGAGGACCGAAATGTATCGCAGAGATTCAAGTGCTGGGCTGCTACCTTAAAGTCATAAGCAGTAAACAGAAGCTTTACCGATAGAAACTCCCAAAGCTGCTATTGATGGAATCACTTCTCAGTTGGGCATCAGACCCATCAACATCTCTTGCTTATGTTCATTTCCAAGCCACCAGGACTTGAATTCAACATCACCATTTTCGACTGGACGGCTAAGATCAAATGCATCGCAGATGTTGGAAATCTGCTGCTTCAGCACTCTGGACTCTTGTGCACCTCTCTCGGGGTCTTTGCCGAAATGAACTCTCTTGTGGCCACCCAAAGCTTGGCCTGTTGCAAACACCTTCAAGCAGATGGAGCACTTGTGACCCTTATTCTCAATTACTCTTTCCGTCTCCCCTTCTGCTGCTGAATTATCACTGCATTCAAGCTTGGCAATCGGAATTCTATCTTCATGATCCTCATTTTTTACGGCAGAACCATTGCTGGTTGATTTGTGAACTCTTTGGTGAGCTCCAAGTGCCTGATACGTCCTGAAAACCTTGTTGCAAATCCTGCACTTATGCTCTCTTTTCTTCTGGGAATCAGCAAAGACTTCAGATTCAGTAGCATATAACTTGGGTTTATTGTTCAAACCTGACTTCATTGATCCGAATGCAGCTACATCCGATTCTACTTCCTCGATAATATCCACATTCATTTCCACTTCAGTATCACACAGCCCAAATGCAGATTGCCCATCCAGTCTAGGCCTCTTATAACCTGCACCCCTGGAGAACCTGTCTGCCATTTCGACGTTCTTTTCCTCATCACTCAGAAACCAAGAACCGTTTTCGCTAAATTCAAATACTTTCTTCTCATCAGAGACATTCTTACAATCAGAAATGCAATCAACCAATTTCACAGTATCGTCACAGACATCACAACCAGAAACACCACCCTTCTTTCCCATGATCCAATTCTTTTGACTTGGTGATTGAACTTCCAAAGACAACGAATTGTTATCCGAAGACTCGGTCACCGAACTAATTCGACCCAAATTGTTTCCACTACCAGATATGATCATCAAACAAATAGCCCCCTCTACTACTTCTTCCCCGAATTCAGTGACATACTTAGATTCATTCACACTAAAACTAGAAAAATAACAGCTTGAATTAGTATTCCTGTACCTCAATCTTTTCGATCTTTTCCTCCGAATCAGCCCCATTGTCTCACTGCTGTACTGACAGGAATCCACAGAAAGCATCTTGCTTGAAGAAACAGTCTCCAATCCATCAGCTTCCCCTAATCCTTTCCGAGTGGCATCTGCTATGAGTAGCTAAAGCTCTCAACGATTCAAACCCTTTACAGCAAACTTCGCAAGACCGCGTTTCCTTCCTCTCCCTCCCCGAGTGATGCCTCATGTGCCCGAACATCGCCCTCATCGAATCAAACCCTTTGCCACAAACCCTGCACCTGCAGACGGTCTCATTTTCTTCCCCTGCAGAAGCTTTAAACTTCGAGTCCCCTGAAAACTTCCAGGACCTTTTCGGGTTCCTTCGTAATCCATAACCAGCGTGATCATCGTCTTCAACCTCAAAATCCACCCTGCACATTTCGATCTTTTTCTCTGTTTTAGCAGATTTTCTTGCTCCATGGCACCTCATGTGACCTCCCAAGACTCTGCCGCTCACAAAACTCTTTTTGCAGAGCTTGCACACATGCTCCATCATCTTAACCAGAAAAGCAAACGAACCCAGATCCCAGAACCGAGAAGGAATCCAATTTTCCGAGAAAGTTTGAATCTTTCCACCGCATTCGAGGAAAAAATTGCTGAAGGAGCTCAAGAAACAGAGGATGCTGAAAACTCAGATCAGAGACGAAGCTTTCTTGCTTTTTTCAAAAGTGCTGGAGAAGAAGCACTTTTGGGTTTTGTAGAATTTGTGGGCAAGAACAAGATATGGGTCCCTAATCAAAACCTCTCCGTCTCTCTTGGGGAAGAAACGACTTAGATTTCAGTTTTGGTTTGAGCACAAAAGTCTCTCTCCTCTCTCTCTCTCTCTCTCTCGTGTGGTGCTTGAAGACATGTAAATGTGGAAGCCAAAAAGCAAAGCAATATTTCTGTAACTGCAGCACTGACTGAGTGAGAGGACTGCTTTCCCAGTAGTGGGCAAGACTAGACACAACGAAAACGATATAGATGTTTAATGTTGGGATCTTTCTAGCACTAATCTCTCTCTCTCTCTCTCTCTCTCTCTCTCTCTCTCTCTCTAGATTTTCTCTCTCCAAGTGTTTGTTGTTGGGAGCTTATGCCTCATTTGGCAATAGAGAAAAAGAAACCAAATCCTTGCATGAAAGCAAAGCTATAGTCCAGACTCCGACTTTTGTCCCACTTGCTCGTCTACATCAAACCACCAACTCTGCTATTGCTACCACCATGATCACTCACATTTTGTCATTTTTGTAATTAACATATGAAATATGTGTGTTTATGTCGACTTGCCGGATCACGGCACCGTAGACACAGACAAGCAAACAATCATGTATCCAGGTTGGATGGATAACGTCGTTCAAAATGGTGGATTCAAATTCGGAAAGTTAGATAGATATGAATTTTTTTAATTTATTACGGAAAATTATTTTTTTCTTTAAATATTATAATATTGATAAACGCTTTCCTACCAGATATATTTATAAATAGAAATGATTTATGTACTTATTTGTCTCATATTCAACATCAAGGTTTAAGATTTAACAAATAAGATAATAACCAAAAGAGTAAAATAAGAAAAAAAATAAAAGCTGATAGAGATAAAATGACAGTGTGAAAGTCACATCGATAAAAATTTGTACTGTACTCACACTCGACAAAAAGTGGGTGACCAAATGCAGAGGCTGAAGTGACGTAAATACCAAAAGGACCCTAATTTATGGCGTTGCTTGGGGTGCAAGGCTCAAGAATTGGGTGATCCTACCTTCATGTGATCTGTGTACATTTTCTTTCCAAGGAAATAGCAACCAACGGACTGGAAATGTAAGTGCCTATATACCACTTTGTTATTCTTCTAAGATCATCTTCAATTTTTGGATTAAAATTTAAAATTTTTAGCTCATAACATTTAGATTGTAGCTCGAAAACAGCTTTTCTGCTTCAACCCTTTTGACCTAAATTTTTTAGTCTAAGATTATTAAAGAATCAATTTAGGCTAAATTTTTATTTTAAAGTATTGAATATTGAAAAATCACTAAATTTGGGTGAATTTTGAGTTAAATAATTTTTTAATTATTTTAGCCGTTGGATTTAAATTTGGGCCATTAGATCTTTTTTTACTGTTAGATTTGATTATATTCGATTTCAGCCGTTGAATTCAATAAATCCTGGAAGACATGCCCATGTGGGTGAGGTCCCACTAGTGGTGCCCGCACCATTTTCTAGGCTAAATCCTAGGGGGAAATTTGACTATTTTTGGCTTTTAACTTTTAACCCACACATTTAGCATGGGTTCAGTTAGGTTTTTTTTTTTTTTTTTTTGGGGGGGGGAATAAAAACTAAAAAATAGCATTTAGCCCTGGGTTGGGTTTGTTCTAAGCAACCCTACACAAGGGACAAGGTTCGAACCTTGCAAGAAATTTTTCAGTGTTATTGGTACACGAAATGGTACATCATGTGTCATTATATAAATTGTGGGATATATGTATTACATAGTTAATAACTAAAAAATATAAAAATTCCCAAAACTTTTATAAAAACACTTGTACTACTCGTATTTCCAGTCACAATAAAAAAATTGCTCAAACCTCACTGTCCCCAACTGTCGAATGCACAGTAAGTTTGACAGGGTCGTTAATGTTTTTTTTTTTTTTTTGAACTTCGAAGGAAGTACATTAGATTTGAAATTTGAAAGAAGTACATTAGCATGCATAAAGTTAATAATAGTCACGTCAAAAAAATTTTGACATTTGACCAAACTCTTCACCCTTAAATTCTAAAAAGTAAGGGATACCTTGGACATGGTAGAATTTTTCCTTGCTCAAGTTGGACAATCTTAAGCCTTGGACACTACTTTTCAAACCCATGATCTGTTTTTTCGTTGGAAAAGCATTCTCGCATACTTCTTCTGAGATATGCTAAAGAAGCTATATTAATAGTGAAATTCTTCATAGATTATTTGTCTACTCATGTTTTTAGTACAATGTTTTAGAATGTTGACATAAAAATTGACATTGGACAGTAAAATAACGGAGAATCCATAAAATATATATATATATATATATATATGTTTGTATATATATATTAAAAAGCTTTCTAGAGAAGTTTGGACACTAATTAAATTCATGTAAAAATTCATTTCCGAAGGATTGAGAGAAATAGTATCAAATAAGAGTGACAACACTGGGAAAACGAACACAAAAAATAAAATGAAATTAACCTCACTACCAAAAACAAAAAGATGCAGTGTAAATTCTTGATAACGAACTTTTGATTCAATTTCTTTGATGAAAACCATCCCTTTTGTGTTACTATTCTCACGGGACTCATCCTCAGAAGGAAAAACAGGATTTTCGTCTCACGGAAGAACTTGGGTAATGAAATTCTACCCTATTCACTGAAGGAGGGAGTTTCCCGGCCACGGTAATCCCTTTGACTAGTAGACGGAGGACACCAATCGTGTACTAGAAACCTACATCTGTAGCTGCCTTCTTCCAAGAACTGAAAAACCACCTTTGAAGAGTTAATAATCGATCACCAACTTGAAGCTCCTCCTTCAGGGTTCTCGAAGTCATGAACAAAAGGATTTAGGAGTTTGTACAGCCCAAAGCTGGCTTGATTCGAACAACAGTGCGAGGAATTATTTGTCGTACTGTAGTTCACCTCCAACCTTTGCCATCTCAGCATCTAATTGTGCTGATGCAGGCCAGTCAAGATGCTTTGCATACTTAAATAGACGAGTTGTCATTCTACACTGCAATTCTTGAATCTTTCTCCTCCGAAAGAGGAGCATATAACTCAACTGTCTTGCTGATACTCATATGATGTGCAAGAATCATCCTGAATATCATAATTCTCTCTGTTACTGCTAGGAGTTTTATCCAAAAGCCGAGTTTCAGTAGCACCACCACCATCACCTGGGGGATTCTCAACATGAGCTCCTGAGCCATCATCTATATCACCTGCATCCTCATCCTTAATTCCATCACAACCAACCACATTGGCACCATCATTACAACCATCTACGTCATCAGCATCCTCAATGTGCTCATTGAAACAGCCTAAATGTTCTACATGGTTATAGGCAAGAGCATCTAGATTTACAGGAGATTCCACCAAAGCGTCCTTGTCATCATTGACCACTCCAAGTTCGCTCTTTTGCCACTCATCATCGTCACTATCAATGTTTAGAGGGTCAAACCTATTCTGCTCAGCACGCTTACGGAGCATGAAAACATTGAAATAATAGCTGACAAGGTCTTTGTGCGGTCGCAAAGGAAAAGCCACTGAGAGGTGGTGCCAGAAGTTCTTACCCAATGATGCAGGGTTAGAGAGGATGGCATCGTGGAAGGCACGCTCTTCCTCTTTAGTCCATTTCTCAGCAACCTCCTCTCCCATTTCATAAAAGCCTAACTCTTCAAATAGGTGATGTCCAAGGTCTTCCCTTAATTTCTCTTTTGCTTCCATGACATGCTGTCTCACGCATCTAACAGAACCTGCATCAGCACACTTACAGTTGTTTCTAGCTCTCACATCTTCACATAAATAGTTTTCAAATGTATCCAACTCAGGCATAGAAATGATACAGGTACCCATCAGCTTCTCCTGATTGACACTAAGGCCTTGGCCAGAAACATATGAAACTTCGCGCCGAGGATCCAATTTCTCCAGATGATTTGAAGAGTGTGAACCCTCGTGGCCCCATTCTGGAACATAAGCTTGATGCTGAGGTCCGATAGAAACTAGCTTTTGAGGAGGACAATCAACAGGAGATGAGCAGATCACATCAGAATGAAGAAAAGCCCTCAAATGGTTTGCAGGTGAAAAAAATTCTGGGAATAATGATAGATGCCCTGCTGCCTCAGGTCTTGCATGAGCTTCAAACATATTGTTGTTGGCCCACCAAAATCGGAAGGAGCTTCCAGAGGCACCAGTTTCAAGTTCTTTGTAGGTCTCATTTGAGGATTCAGTTCCCAAGTCACTTGCAGACCTTCCTTCGTCTGGACATTTACTAAAACTCCCGTCACCTTCACCATCTTCATATTGTAATTACATCAGCTATAAGATCAAACTCAATATCTACAGATTACACTAAGCTAATAAAAACCATGCATTAGTCCTCGTAAACAATATACTAACTCACATCAGATTACACTAACTTACATCAGAATAACAAACACTGATGCCATTATTTCTATTCAAAGGTCAGGTTGTGTTAATAGTCCAGATTAAACTCCAAATTGCAATTCCAGATCCGCGGCGCATTTTATGCATTTACATCTTCTAAGTTTTCCGCCAATCATTATACGCACAACTTGAAAATGAAATTATTATCGACCAATTGACCAATTGACCAAGCAACTATTTGGTACCTGAAATTTGAAATTTCTGGGGGCTGCTACTCAAAGGAAAAGTATCCACAATTGGAGCAGGCTCATTAGCATGTTCCAATCGTCTTGGGTGCTTACAAGCAACCTCATAAGAATCCTCAACATCAAAAGGCCGTTTGTTTATCATTTTGTCCTGCAAAGTGAAGCCAAATTTGAAATGGAGCATTGAATATGCAATACAGCATTTACATATCTAAAACCCCCACAAAAAGCAGAAAGCCGCAACCAAACATCTCACAAACGAGAAGAAAATAACAATTCTACATGAAACAAACCCCTTTGAATGACTTGACTTAATCGGCGCTAACTATAAATGAAAACAGATTACATACTACATAAGAATGAACAAACATTGTTCGTCCTTTCACAACAAATACCGAATTTAAAACAACCGCATCAGGTAACAATTCTCTCATTTTTCCTTTCGACAAGTAATAGTGACACTGATTCCTTAAAAAAAGAACATACCATGTTAACTTCAAAGCATCATCTTTTGCAAAAACCCAGGTTTTGAATATTGTTTTATACCAATTTCTATATGGCAATTTGCAACACATGCAGGGGCACTAAAAGCAGACAATTATTGTCCAACAGTCAAACAATTATCTAAAAAGCATATTAATTTATAAAAAAAGAAAAAGAAAAAGAAAGAATCTAATTTAAAAATTTATTAAAAAAAAAATTAGTACGACTGGGCTTAGCTGAAGAAGCTGATCCTTACCTGAAAATATTGACGTCCCGGCAACTGACAAAAGCACCCAAAAATCAGCTTCTCAAAATTCAAACCCCCAAAATTACTGTACTTTTAATTTTAAAAACTACTTTACGAGCAATTGAAGAAACATGCAGTAAGCTGTTTATCCCCAATTTATACAGATGAAAATAATATAAAATTGGAAACTTCAAAAACCAAAAAAATTTCTCAAAATTTCTGATAATTCCTTTGATCTTTCGGACCACAAAAACCTATCGGGTAAACAATTTTTCGCAGGTCAAGAAAAAACCCTTTTCGGATCGAAAAGTTTCTGGATTTTTCAAAACCCTAACCCTAGAATCGGATTGGAGGCACGGCGAGGTAAGAAATTGGGATCAACCGGTAGAGAAAAGATTGAATTGAACGAATAAAATCTCGAATTGACGATCAGAGATAGAAATTTGATCAAATCTGAATCGGAACGATAGAGATTGGGGATCGGGTAAAATTTTGGCGCTGGCGGGTTTTATAGGCCATTTGTGGTTTTTTTTGGGGTCCGAAGAATTGAAACTTTCTGGTTGATAAAATTACTGAAAGAGGTAATGATCCTCGTTAAAATTACGATAAATGCCACTTTGATTCTGGATTGTATGGATGAGCACGAAAAAGATTCTGTCAGGTAATTATCAGTGTAAGAATTTTGACTGCCACTAGCATTTCGCCACGTCCTAGTCCAAAGAACGGTTTGCAACGACGCGTCGTTTGTTTTGAAAGTGATCAAACGGTGTGGCGTGTTCACACATTTTTTAATTGAAATCAATCATTTAATTAGAGGTGGGCATAGTCTAAGTTGAATCGGTTTTACTCTTAAATCGTGACCAAACTAACTACAATATAACGCCTTGGCTCGGATTGGATACCACAAAAAATTTAAAAAAGATTGAACCAGACCAAATCTATGTTTAATTGGTCTATTCCGACAATTTCGTTTATAGACTGTCATTTTTTTGTTATTGAGTTTCAAGCTCATCAACATTGCACATTAAACGTAATCATTGTTTTCTCCCAATCAATACAAATATTTATAGGCACTCCCAAACGAACTCTTATAATTACTCAATTTTATTTTAAAATAACATATATATATACATACACAAAGAAGACTTACCTGTAATTAAATGTTGTGAAGCTCAGATTGTAAGAATATTGTCAAATTTGCAGTCCCTTCTTCTTCAGCCACTGGTGCTTTCCAAGGCGTTGGAAGGAAGTGCTTCAAGTCAATAACAATGTCAAAGAAAGTCAACATTAAGTTTTTGACAACAAACGGCCCTATCGTTTCAAAATAAACTAAAAATATTAGAGGAATGATTTTCGAACGTTTTTTTTTTTTTTTAACTATGAGATGGTAACGAGCGTTTACATATACAACTGACCGAATATCAAAAGATATGAAAAATATTGGGGGTAAAGAAGTAGGGTAAGTAGATAAATTGTTTTCTCTCTTACACTCATCATATGCGTGTCCAATTCTATTTCCGTACAGTAAAGTAGTTTAGAATATTGATCTTCTTCTCCAATAAAATAAAATGAATCAAAATTCGTAACTGATAAATAAATGGTATACCTGCAATCTTGTCAAGTACATATTGATCATGTGCCCTTGGATATGCATTTCTGGGGAAGTACCAAAACTTGTAAAATCGAATAGTCTGATCGTTCGATTTTACATAAGAAAATCCAATGTTAGGATGATTCTTTACAGTGTAAGAATCACCTTCAAAGCCATCACAAAAAACTAATATATATATATATATATAAAGGTTTGTAGAAAACGGCCGGAATTAAAAATAGAAGCGAGCAAAATAAATTGAAGAAGAAACTTCTCTTCAGGCTCCCACTGCTTCAATTAATATCAACACTGATTTCCTGATCACATCCCATGTACGAATCACACATGAAATATAGGGTGTACGTCTTCTTCCCGGCAGTTTCGGCTGCAGGAGCAGCGAATTCGAGCTTTATCTTTGACTTCTTCTGCACGGAAACTTTCTTGATGTCAAGCAAGGAGTCAGTCTTGGTATCTCCAACTACAAGCCACCACCCTTCTTCTTTCCCCTGGGATATCTCGCAGCATCAACAGGACCTACGTCCGTCCGCCCCTCGAGCTTGCGATTAAGACTGACTTGCAGTGTGATCTTATCTTCCCCAGCGTTAATACTTTCGCAACCCAGGACCTCATAATTCACATCAATGTCAGGAAACCGGTTGCAAAACCGCTGAACATCAAGCAACTGTGCATCTGACATCTTGAGTAGCTTGCGTCTCTCATTGTCTTCCATCTCTTTCAAATCAAATACGGTTTCCACGCTCTTCTCAGGATTATCTTGACATCTCTTTGCCAGCTCCTTTGTGAAATGAGGAAGCTGTAGAAGCTCTGAATCACAGTCCCACATACCCTGAGTCACCATCTGGCTCAACTCCATCGCTTGGACAGCAAGTCTTAGCCAGCCGTTCCTGGAAATTATATCAATCATTGCATAAACCAACCTAGTTGCGGAAAGGATCACCTCTTGCTGGTCCATTGTTAGGTTCCCTCCTACAGGTTGCCTGGAGAAGTGAGCCTGAAGCAGCGTATTTGCTTTCACATGAGGGTCTCTGCATTTGGGATTCTCGAAACAGAACCTTTGGTGGTTAATTAACCTTCGGACCACCTCTTCATCCCCATTTCGTATGGGAAGCTGTGAATACTCTGAAGCTTGAGCTAGAATCTCCAGAAGACCCTTCATCTTTGTTTTGGAAGTTAAAGAAGAACTGAATCGCTCTACAGTTGTATAACTGATGTAATAATACGATGCTATCATGCCAAAAGGCAAGGCAGATAGGTTTATTTCATTCTTGATAGCAACGCACTCGCTTGCTTCCAAATCACTCAGTGTCGTTTCAACAAGCTCCGAGAGGTGTTCAGAAAGATGCCGCTGACTAACTACTTGGAGATTATAATAGTTGGGATTTTGTGTGATCCTCCTGTACAAGAAGGTCCATGTAAGATAATCAACTGCGTCTTGCTTGTTCTCAATCATTCCAGCAACAATTTCCGCATTCACATTATCATGTAGGTAATGGTGGAAACGGCTTTCAACAGGCAACGCTTCATACAAGAACTTCTTGTAGTATTCTTTATGAGGCGTGTGGCAGAGGATGAAACACTTCCCAGAATCATCTAGCAGAGGGCGATTGGCACCGCCCATCATCTGCAACAGATCAGTAACATGGTAATCAGTGTGAACATTTTCCCGGCAGTCATAATATTAGGTTCCCATCACAACCACCAAATGGGCTGACAGCGGCACTCCCCAACACATTGAACTACTTACTACACACACTTGAATCCAACCAGATTCATAAAGCTGTGACACAATTTGTTGATCTGAACTAGTTAAGTCCTCATGCAAGTAGCCCACTCCAATGCACAAAGTGGATTGCAATCTTTCATCATTAAAGCTTCCAATCAAAGACTCGATATGACCTTCCCAAGATCGCAATAAAAAAGGTGGTTTCTCATTGTTTACGTTTGAGCAAGTCACCAGATGCTCAGCAGTTAGTCGGACGTGTTTCCTTGTAGGAACATACACAAGAGCTGGTTCACCATTCCTGGCATGCTGGACAATGGCAGTGTATGTTAGTTTCATCATTGCTTGCATTCTCGCTTCAAAATCAGCAAAATCCACCCCCTGAATCTGTATTTCAAGAGGCACTGGACGCGCCGCAGGAGGAAAATTGAAAACGCTGTGAGAGGTAGCCCCTATCCATTCTCCAAGATCCTTTGCATTTCCAAGAGAAGTTGAGAGAGCCACAATACGAATCATGTTCTCGGATTGAGTTGATATATATCTCATCCTAGAGACTATTGCCTCCAAGATTGGACCACATTGACCACTAATCAAGTGGAGTTCGTCTACAATAAAAAGACTAACCTGTTGAACATGTTTCCACTCTTTCCTGCGGCGAGATAAAGCATCCCATTTCTCCGGAGTGCTGATGATAATATGACTTTTCTCAAGCCGTTTCAGGTCTATATTTATTTCCCCAGATAATTTTTCAACGCACAGATTGAGACCCTTTCCAACTTCCTTTCCCAGTCACTGTAACGCTCATTAGCAAGAGCTTCAAAAGGTGCAATATACACAACATGCATGACAGGACTATCAGCTTCAGTGCCCTTTTGATGATTCCTCAATATGGCAAACTCTGCACATATGGTCTTCCCACTACCTGTTGGTGCAGCAACTAAAACGTTCTCATCTGAATTATACAGAACAGTGAAGACCTGAGTCTGAATAAGATTAAAATGCTTAAAATCATGATCATACAGAGCTTCGAACACTGGATTCCTTAGTGCAGCCAAGGGAAATGGTTGCAAGTCCAATAACTTTGTAGGTGGAGGATACTTATCAGGTAAGATGAGGTGCTTGAAAGAAAGGCAAAACAGTCTCCGACCCAAGCCACCTATCCGACACAACACGAATGTAGTATTGGGGAGGAAGTGGTTCATAAATTGGAACTGCGAAGTTCAAAGTATGATCCTCATCAATATGCAGCTTCTTCAGTAGAAAATATTCATGATGAAGAATGCACTCACCGTCATTATCCTCCACAATTACCCAAAAGGGCTCCACATATCCATGAATTCTGTCCTCCCACTGAAAGTCTGGTGTTATAACAAGCTCGACCTTTAGTACTGTGTGAGTAATCGGTTGGACATGGGCTGCAAGGTTTAATTTGGGGAACTGGTGGATGAACTTATGAAGCGGTCTTCCCATCTTTGGCATACGAATAAGCTCCCCCAGCTCCTGTGGAGAGAGGTCATAATATCTTTCCCAGGCCAAGTCCTTCTTCTCTAATTTCATCAAAATATCATTCGTTATTAACCCATTGAACTGGCGAAGGGGTGTTTGGACGCCCCACATCCTCTTGTCAACCATTTTGCACAATTTCAATGCCTTTCCTGCTAGCTGAGCCCATCCTTGTCTCAAGACAATCTCAAAAATAGCCCGTAGAAGACGCCCCCCACTCTGAGTAATGAAAACCATATCAGATGACAAAGAAAGCCCTTCAAGTTTCAGTTGTGAAATATAAGCTTGCAGCAAAACATTAATCTTGGCACTGGGCTCTTCCAGACCGTCATTGACCGGGACAGGAACACGGTCCAGTAGTTGTGCGAGTTCCATCTTTTCATCCTGCCGCACAGTGATGTACATAAAATCCTCACTTAGTGAAAACAACCGAAACAGATCTATATCACCCATTGTGGACTTTAATAGCTCATTATATGCGGATATTGTTCCATGAGTTATATAATAATAACTCGCAATATGCCCCAGGTCTGTGACCTGGAAGTATCCACTTTTTCTATCATACCTGATCAAATTGTTTCTGTCCAAAATGGTTGCAGCAGAATGGATCAGATCCGCACGCCTCTCCTCCAACTGACTATCTCTTCTGCGAATATCCGATTCCAAACCATACAGGGTTGGTTCTTTTAACATGCGAACAAACAGGTAAGTGTGTGTTAACCAATCAGAGGCTTCTCTAGCATTTTGAACTGTTCCAAGAACAATTTCAGCATTCAATTGGTCAGCCAACTTGGAGACTAATTGACTTTCAATAGGTAGTTGTTGATTCATCAAGGAAAGATAGTATTGTGATTCCTTGTGGCCAGTGATGATTATCCCTTCTCCTTCTGAATCGTACTGAGGTCGTCCTGCCCGACCCAACATCTGCATAATATCAAGAGGACTTAGTTCAGTCCATGCTCCATTTTCTGGATTATAGATCTGAGTCCCTTTGATTATCACGGTGTGAGCTGGCAGATTCACACCCAAGCAAGTGTTGCAGTGGAAACTAAAACTTGTACATACCCATCAGAGAAAAGAGCTTCAACCTGTTGGCGATCATCCCTGTTCAACCCAGCATGATGAATAGCAAAACCATATGGCAGAAGACCTTTGAGATCATTGCTCTTGACCAAATTTTTATGAACATTAAGAATCTCATGGCTGGCACTGTCTTCTTTCAGAAACCTACCAACAGTGCCTTTATCAAGTGCAGTATCTCGTATAGCACAAGCTGTTTTAGCCGTTTCTCTCCTTGAATGCACAAAGATAAGAACTTGATGCTTTCCAGCCATAGAAATCACCTTTTCATAACAAATATCATTCATCAACTGCAACCTCTGCAGTGGCTTCCTTATTGTGATTCCAATATATTGTTGCGAAAGGGGTACAGGTCTGAAACTATTGTCAAAATGAAACAGCCCCTTTGTAACACGGCAAGAACTTCGCCACATCTTCATAGTTAGGGAGTGTAGCAGATAATCCCACCAACCGGATATGGTTTTTTGTGGTCTCAATCTGCCTAACAGTTCTAGCAACAATGCTTTCAAGAACAGGACCTCTATTGTCATGAAGTAGATGAATTTCATCAATAATTAAAAGTTTTAGAAGTTGTGTGCAAGTACGATCACCTGACTTTCAGGTAATGATATCCCACTTCTCTGGAGTTGTGACAATAATTTGAGTCTCTTCAATTTGTTGGCGAGTGAGTGTCTGGTCACCACTAAGCTCCTTCACCGTGACATCATAGTCCTGCAAACGATTAGACAAATTGCTAACAACTTCAGCCACCAGCGCTTTCATAGGAGCAACATATACAATCTTATAACCACTGTGGTTTATAGTACCATCCTCCTTGTTCGTGTTTAGCCCAATCTGATGAAGTATAGTAAGCACTGCAACATTAGTTTTACCTGCACCAGTGGGAGCACATAAGAGGATATTGTCAGCTTTGAAAAGAGCAGCCCCATAGACTCTGCTTTGTATTCTGTTCAACCGGCTCATCCCTTTGAAAGCCGGTTGTGCCCAATCAGGCATGGCAGATACTTTTACAAGCTCATGATCAGGATATGGTTGAGGCTTCAATGCTGGAACATGAATTTCCTCATATCCCTTTTTCATTTCTTTGCGAGACCTGAGTGGAAACACACACTTGTTAGACACCAAGAATCTACTTTCTTCTTGAGCAAGGCTATCAAGATCAAGCAACCGCGCCTTGCCTCTGAACCAATAACTTCCACCATCTCTATCCCCAAGCTCGTTCCCAGCAGTCTCATCCTTCAACCTGCGAGCCTCTTCTCTAATACTCTTCTCCAAGTTCTTTTGCCTCTCTTTCATGCTGGCCCTCGTGTTGTGCAACTGTTGTAAAGTTGCAGCCAAATCTGGATCAGAATGCAATATATCCTCCTCGATTTTCTTCCTCTCATCTTCGCTTTCAGCTCTCGCTAAACGGGTGCACCAGACAATTTTCAACCGGTTTCGCACTAGAAGCTTAACAAGGTTGAATTTGTCAAACTGAAGGTGCATCAACAACCTCGTTTCAACTCCCCTGTCATCGTCTTCGGCAAGTATCTGGAGAACTTCTTCAGAAAGCTTCCGGCATTGAACTGGATCAATATTTTTCTCATAAGCCTCAAAGATCCTCCTCTGAAGCCAATAAGCACCAATGTCCTGAACATTAAGGCTCGAACCATCATTATCCGCTTCCTGCATATCATCGTCATCAATCTCACCACCAATTTGCATTGCCCCTGACTTGCTCGGAATGACCACATTATTCCTATCCTGTTCCTCATCTTCCATGACCATATCGAGATCACTACTCTCCTCCTCCTCCTCCTCCTCATCCTGTTCAAATCGTACCGCAACACCCCCATCGTCATCAACAGTTTCACCGCCATCATCCAAGGCATCAATCCCAGCTCCGTAATCCGTGATCCGCCTCCCAATCGAAACCAACCGATCAAAAACTTCATCCGCTATCGGATTCCACAACTTCTGAATCTCCTTTTTCTTCTCAGAATCCTCAAAGCTCTCATTTTTAAGAACATCCAAAATCTCATCCGCCGCGCCGACTACACTCAGAGGCTGCCCACCCAACTGTTTCTGAATCACTTCAATAATTTCCTCGTACGCCTTCCCGGTTTCGCTGTTCACCGGCTTGTAAACACCTTCTTCCTCCACCGAAACACTGAGGACGCTATCTTCACAAAGGCGACGCCTTTTGCTCCGGCGAAACACGGAGGCAGGTTCCGCATCAATTGGGTCCCGCTCCTTCTTCTTCCTGGACTTTTTAACCTTGTAGTCAAGCTCCGATGGCCTTCCCCTGTAAACCCTGTCGCCGAAGTTCTTGGGATTAATCTTACCCTCAAAGGACCCAACCTCGCCGCTCAGATCGTCACGTGATCGGGCGCGCGCCTCCGCGCCGCCGGCGCTGTTCTGCGCCATGAATTGTCTGCGAATTAACCAAGTTAAACCTCAGAAACCCCCAATTGAAATAAAAGAACAATAATCAGAATCTAGGGTTTTAGGGTTCCGATGGATCATGGAATTGCAAAAGGAGAAGAATTGAAAACAGTAAAAAACGAGGAATTGCAACGAGACCTTTTTCTCCTTTTTTAGGGGATAAATTGAGTTGCGTGGTCATCTCCTTCTCATAGTTTTCGCGCCATTCCTCAAGCGTGGCGGCCAAGTATTCCTATCTCACAAGTACAACATTCTGTTAAAAAAAAATATCTCCACTCATAAAGGCATTGACCTTGAAAAGTCGTCAACAGAATACACTCCGGATCATTTTAGATATTTGTAAATTATATATGTTTATCGTACACGTATAATTAATTTTTATTAAGTACTATTTTTATTTATTTTTAAATAAAATATATAAAATAATTTCTGATTGTATGATGTACGATGAACATATATGATTCACAAATTTATGAGATTCTCACAAAGAGAATCCAACAAGGATCCAAATTCAAAAAATTGTATTCAATTGAGATTTTAAGATATGATTAAAATAAAGAATAGCAAATTTTTAAGACGTGAGTAATACGTCGCATGTGATTAAAAACCAATCAATCCCATTTGGAAATCAGTTGTATATAACTATATATAAAATAATCTACTCGAGATTGAATCCAAAAGGGATTGAACCATGAATAAATATAGTATCTGCGCGGACATACACATGCTGGACAATAATTTTAAATATAATATTTATTCCAGATATATTCATGGTTGACAGATATACTCATGGTTGATATTAACAATACATACATATATCATTTCACAAAACAAATAAATGACTAGTAATAACACAAGATTGTACAAATATGTGTCAAAGTATTTGTCACTTGTTCTATACCAATAATTATTATTGCAATCATGAATATTGTCACATCTCGACCCGGGCTCCATCACATCTCACATCGACCAATGGAGAAGGGATGATGTGCCTTATATGTATATGCTGACCTCCATATAGCACGAGGCATTTTGGGAACTCTCTGGCTTCGGGTTCTATCAGAACTCTGAAGTTAAGTGAGTTCGGGCGAGAGTATTCCCATGATGGGTGACTCCCCTGGGAAGTTCTCGTCTGAGTTCCCAGAAACAAAATCGTGAGGGCGTGGTCAGGGCCCAAAACGGACAATATCGTGCTCCAACAGAGTCGAACCTGGGATGCAATGGAGTCCGGGATATGACAATATTCATGGTTGCGTCACGTCTCGACCTCGGTTCGGTGTGTCAAATATGGACATATATTCTATTATTACTATTACCATGAGTATATTTGTGATAGATATTCTATTTATTATTCTCGTCATGAATATATATGGGACACAACTTTATTTATTATTGCTGTTAGTTATATAAGTATATATAGGGCTTATATTATATTTGTTACATATATGAAATAGATGGTTGAATGCATGTGTGGATCAATCTTAAAAATTTGGTTGAATGCCCGTGCGGCTTCACTTGAGATTTCGAGTGAGTTTTCTTAGATATACAAATGTTGTTTTCTTAATGAGATTTATTGATTATTAATCGTATAACTGTTATATACGTCAAGATGTCGGTTGTCCATACTTGTATTTTTTTGCAGATTGCATAGTCATATTGAGTATATATGCTCGTTGATTAAAAAAAACTACGGATTTTGACAAAATAAGATAATAGGAGTATTTCCGCAATATTTTTTTTTTTTTAAATTTACGTTTGAAGAGAGAGACGGAAAAGTTAGAAATTATTAAAACAATTTAGAAACAGAAGCTTTGAAGTCGGGATGCATAGTTAAAAATCCCCATTGGACTACATGTAAATATCTCAGTATTGCGACTTGCCTTATTCGGCTGCAACCGTTGTTAAATGAAATTCTTCCGCTATCGCCACCACTCTCCTAAATTCCTAGTCACTTAATCCAAACGACCCAAAATAATTTATTTTTAAAATAACACCTAATCTAACGGTTCAACATAGACATAAATTTTAAAAGCTTTATCAAACGGTGCACATATAATCCTAGAAAAATAGCCGTTACACATTGAGCGTCAACAGCTCTAACGTTTCTTTTTTCTCTCTCCAAATCCATCAATCCTCACTCATCCTTTCCTCGCTTCAGAAAAAGAAAAAAAGAAAAAAAAAAGCTAACCCTTGATTTTCTTATCTAAACTCAACGAACCCGGTTGTTTCTGGCGAATAATCTCTCTTTTTCGGTCACATTCCGATGGATTTGATCAGAAAGAACGCCGGAGCGGTGACTCCTGTGAAAAACCAGCATGGGTCTCGATCCAAGAAGCACGACAACTCGAGATACACTGAGAATTCGAACCCCAATGTTTCCCCTGGCCCGAAACCCACCGCTTCCCCTGCGTCGAAATCGGCAGCGAAGTCCCAGAAATCGGCGTCCAAGAACGCAAACCCGGTAGTTCGTTCGCCCCGGAACAAGATCCGGGAGAGAAAGTTCGTCGTCGCGAAGAAGAAATCGAAGAAGGAGAACCCGAATGTTGCCTGCAAGTGCAAAGAGAAGGGAAATTCGAAGATGTGCCTCTGCGTTGCGTATGAAAATCTGCGGGCGTCGCAGGAAGAGTTCTTCAAGAAGCAAAACGACGACGTCGAATCCGAGAGTTTGAAGGAGAGCGACAGAGCTGAGCGTGAACTGGAGGAAGCAATCGAGGAGGGCTTGAGGATTCAGGACCTTCAAATTGAAGATGGGTCGGGTGATTTCGACCCGGATAGTGAATTGGGTTGTTCGACAATCAAGAGAAGAAGGGACAAGTTGTTGGAAGAGGCGAGGAAGAGTGTGCCGGAGCGTGGGAAGGTGATGCATTTGGTTCAGGCATTTGAGAAGCTGCTTTCGATTCCGAGCTCGAAGGATTCGGATGAGCAGAATGGGGAGGAGGAGGCGGCGGAAGAGATTGGGAAGAAGGTAGAGAAGTGGACATTGCCTGGATTGCAGCCTCCTCCGAAGGCGCCGGAAACACAGGTTTCATCGTCATCGTTTTTCCCGTCTGATTTGTGCTTGACGTTGGAGAATCTCGGTCTGGATCGGCGTCCTTCAGTCTCTTCTTCTTGGGATGGAAGTCTGGGAAGGTTAGCAATTATACTTGACTATGGTTAGTATGACAATTGGATGCACACCAGGTGTTTGTTGTAAGTCGTGACTGAATTTTGGATTTGCTATTTTGATTGAACAGTGGTTCAAGCAGGACTTCTAATGGGGGGCGAAGGAACAGAAGAAATGTAAGATCTAGTTTTTAATTTTTTCACATTATTTTGGAGATTGAAAATGATTGGCTAACTTAGGTTAGGTTGTATTCCGGTTCGAATTTCAGAGCTCTGAATCTTCTAGCACGGTGGGAGGAACGAGATGGAAGAAGAAGCAGCAACAGAGAGCCACTAGTGCTAAGCCATTCAAGCTAAGAACAGAGGTAAATTGTGCGGAAAATGGATGGTATCGAAAGGTACTCAGAAAGTTTACTTGCATTCGCATTGCTTCTAACTTTGTTTGGTGATCTCAATGCAGGAAAGGGGAAGACAAAAGGAGGAAGAGTTCATGAAGAAGTTACAAGAGATGATGATGGAGGAGGAGAGGCAGCGGATACCAATTGCTCAGGGCCTCCCATGGACAACTGACGAACCAGAGGTATAGATACAAATTCGGTGTTCGAAATCACATTAAGAGGACTATATTCAAGTGATTTATTGCTATTGCAAGAAAGACAAGACTGAACCACTAACTTGTATGCATACCTTTGGTGTTTGTCATCTCAGTGCTTGCTGAAACCTCCGGTAAAAGAAATTACAATAGCAACCGACCTGAGGCTCCACAGTGACATGCGGGCAGTAGAGCGAGCTGAGTTTGACCATCAGGTGATTTCAAATACTTGAGCATTGAGAATATGCGCTTGTCTTGATATGTTCAGTCATTCTGCTCAGTAGTGCATGCAAACTATGTGTGTGGCAAAGTTGTTTTATCGGTGCCTTTAGGAACACTTCTAAATTTATGGACTCCATGAAGTTACTCTAATTACGTGAGAAATGACCATAACGTCACTTTGGAGATATATATGAGAAATGATATTTCAAGAGACTCGATAACAAATTCCTTTTCTGAAATTGGTTTTGTATTTGTGTGCACTATCAGGTGACAGAGAAGATGAGCCTGTTTGAGCAATACAAGATGGAAAGAGAGAGACTGCAGAAGGTAAAGAGTTATTGCACTTGATGAGCTTTGTATTATCATAGTTATTCTCGACCTGAAATATGAGTTTTGTTATTGTTTTTTCTCTTGCAGTTGGCAGAAGAGGAGGAAATAAGAAGATTGAGAAAGGAGCTTGTCCCGAAAGCACAGCCGATGCCCTACTTTGACAAGCCTTTCATTCCCAGAAGGTAACACTTCCTTGATCTGGTTGTAAACCGGGTTATACATAGACCCTTTCTCCTCTTGAAGTTTCTTGCATGTCAAGATAAAACAATGTCATGATTGGAATACTCTCATTTTGGAATGACAAGGGTGTGTTCCAAAATCGTTTTCGTAATATGCAGAAAAACAAAGTGCAGATAATTTTTGGAATCCATCCTTATAAAGCGAGTCGATAAAATCTCTTATTAAGTTACACTGATTCTGGCTTTGTAGGATTTACGGTTATCACAAATCTGTGGTTTCGGTTTCGGTTCCTCCAATAGCGTAGTTTATCCCGTCAAATTTTCTATATTGAGCCAGACATATTCTGATATTCATCGTATTTATCAGTAGGGTGTAATACAGTTTTCTGACGTCGTGTTCATGTTTCTTCGTTGTTAGGTCAATGAAGCATCCAACTATACCGAAAGAACCAAAATTTCATGTGCCTCAAAACAAGAAGATCAAGTGCTGCTTGTCATGGAACGATATGAGCTCCTACACTTACGAACATTGAAGCCTGAAGTAGAAGACGAGAAAGAACCCTTAATCTGTTTCTCCCTAGCCTTGTTCATTCCCCCTTTCGTATTAGTGACCATCAATCATGTCTTTTAAATTTTTAATCCTGTATATGATTTGTAAGCAACTAGTTTAGCTGTGATATTTCCACCATTAATTTGATTCTTTGAAAGATCTTTCTTAAGAGGTACAAAGATAATTTATGGTGTGACAATCGTTCTTCTCAAATGAAATTCATATTTGGGATTTGGGGAATACGTGTGGAAAATACGTAAAAATTTAATAACTATCAAGATTCGGAATAAACCAATTTGATTTAGATGATGAAAATTTCATACATTTGTAATAAAAGTATTTATGTATTTATTTCAAAAAAGAAACAAACTCACAAAGTATTTATCTATTTACTTAGAACAGGAGAAATTATAATTACATACTTGAGAATTTGATAAAGCAAAATAAACTTAAAATCCATAAACCATTTAAAAACTCATTTTCTTGTTTTGTTTTATTAAATTTTCAAATATTTTAAGTATTTGGATATAAATTAATTTAATCTTGTGACTAATATGCATTTAGTCTTCACAAATGCTCAAAATAAAGACCTTAAAAGAGAACTAGAACCAAACAAGGGGGAGCACATAATGAGCAAAAATAAGGAATTTCTAAAAATATATTTCAACCCCACTGACGTCAAAGTAGTTTTAAATCATTATGACGTCAAATAGTCAACCTTTTTCCTTTTTGTCTTTTCCTTTTGCTACACCTCCTTTTGCTACCTTTTGCTACACCTCCTTTTGCTCTTTTGATTGCTACATGCTACACCTCCTTTTCCTCTTTTGATTGCTACAACTCCTTATCCATCCTCCTCAGTGTGGAGTAATTTTTCGGTGTACCCGGCACACCAAATTTTTTTGGTGTACCCTAGTGAGGGTACACCAAAAAAATTTGGTGCACCCTCACTTTTTGTACACCAAAAAAATTCTAATGAGTGAGGGTACACCAAAAAAATTTGGTGTACCCGGTACACCTAAAAATTTTTCCTCAGTGTGAAAGAGCTGAGCAACTAAAGATTCTCTCTGGAAAACGAAGTAGATCTAGAGTTACAAAACCTGGATTACTTTCAGGTGGTCATAATGCTTACTCCATTGATCCTGCCATTTATAGGTTTGGTCATAATGCTTACGGTACTCTACAAGTTGGAACCGGATAAATACATCGACTGGGCTGGGCACATTGCGGTCTTTCCCGCTCATAAGGACTGCGCGTTGGCTTCCTTCAAAATAAAGTTGTCAGCGACGCCATTCGTGGACGAGTTGGACGAATCGGAAAAGTCGTTGGTGCACACAGCGTCACTACACACAGCGCCATGCGTTAATCTTTTCCTCAAAAAAAATGAGCGTACGGACGGCGTGTTGGTATTGTTGGGTGTTAAGCTCAGAACGTCGACACCATTGGTGTGCAAGTTGGAACCGGAGAAATCGACGCGGTGCGTAGTGGTCTTTCTCGCTCGTAAGGACTGCACGTTGGCTTTGCTCGGCGGAGAGCTCGGAGCAACGCCGTTGGAGGAGTTCGAGGAATCAGAGAAATCAGCACTGCAGACGCAGATTAAGATTCTGCTCCAAGACGACCATACCGACCGGTAACGAACTCACTTGTTTTCAAATTTTATTAGAATTACTTATTTTTTCTTTTTCCAAATATTAGAATTACTTAAGTAAAAGGTAACAATCCAATTGCTGTTAATTAACTGTCTAATGATTTCATTCCTAAAACCCCTCATTTACGAATGAAAAGTAATATCACTAAATCGTAATACTAAGTAATTACTTCAACTCCGAAGTGGAATTAATTGTTCCTCCTTTTATACTTATTTCAACATTTTAATTAATTAACTGTAATTAATTTCCAAATGATGAAAAATTCTAATTCGGCGTTTGATTTCAGCAGGATGCGTGTGATTTGGGCTCCAAAATGTTGCGGTGTTGACGGCTTAGCTCTCAGTGAGCACAAGAAGGTGGATTTTTGTTCTCCAAAAAAGAAGGTGCATTTTTTGTCTTTTTTCTGAATATGATCAGACCATTTAATTATGATTAGTGTGATTGTTAAGTGGTTCGGAGTCTGGGCCTTAGCCCTTTTGTTGTCTATGTTGTTCACAATTGGGCCTTTGTCCTGATCTGTGTGGGTTTGTTCTTGTTTCTTTGCTTTAGTTTGAAGCGAACAATTTTGCTTCCCAAACTACTTGGGAATCTGGGATTATTAGTTCACCCATCCATATACGCCAATGGAGCTAATTCACTTGTTCTCTTCTGCATAGTTCTTTTGCAGCCAAAACTATATTAGCAACTTTAAGTTTTCATGGAAGAGATTAATATCGACTTTGAGCTAATTGACAGGTCCTTGTATTGGATGACTCGAAATATTTTACTATTGATCTGACAAATTCGCAAGATAAGCATTTCTTCTTGTTGAAAAAGACCAATGTTAGCAACAGTAAGTGCATTTTTTTAAATGTTCCCTTTCTTTTATTCATCTGAAAGCATTACAAAATGTGTATGTACGGATATTGAAGCAACTACACCAATTATTGTACATTTCACATACTTTTTGGTTTGCAATACAACAGGCGCCAATCAACATAAATGCCCTGCTCGTTCGCAAGGCCGCGAGATTTTCTCAAGCTCCTGCAATGCACTTCCGATCGTTACAGATGACATCGCCGTTACTAAAAGGTGCATTTATAGTTGTTTCTTGTGTAATATGTTCTTCCGTGTGGATGTGTATTTTCTTAAATCTCTTAGTATGTTCTCTCTCACACACAGTCGCAATTAATCAACTTAATAAATTTTGATTTGATTCTTGCAGTTCCAGAAATTTATGGCTTCCCATTAAGCATGGTGCACGAGTGAGCCAGAAGGGCAAGTTAGGATTAACATTTTTCTTCGCAATCTTGCTGCCTGGCTGGATTCCTGTTGTAAATGCTGTAGACGAAAACGCATTCCTACTAGGTACTATTAGCACATGCACATGGTTTTGGAATATCATCATTACTATTGCATCAGCCTACTGCGCCTACAAAATCTTACGTAGGTCTCTGGCGCCAGAGCCCTATCTGTTTAGTGAGAAGGTGAGGATCTGGATAAATGGTGAAATGAATGTCGAAGTATATGATCATGAAGGGATACTTGTCGGATCGTGGAGATGTGCTCTTTCTACGGCAAATGGCGAGTGGGTTACCCATCTACTCAATTGTGTACTGCATATATTTGTGCAGCAGGAAGATGGTGTGGAGAAGGAGATTAGCTTTAATCAGATGGATGATCCTGAGTTTATTGGTATGCCTAAGGATGTCTACTTACACAACCCCAATACCGGGCTCTTACGCTATATTGGAAGAAGCGTTCCTCAAAATGGTGCACCAAGTGAACGAGACATCTTACTTGCACATACAATTTTCATGTAATTAATTACGTACCAAGTTGTTGAGCAATTTTAATGTAATTAGCACGTACGATGGATACGCCGATCATGAGAATAAAACACACTTAAATTAACGGTTTATTTTTTGCAATGCCCTCTTAAACTCGAACTTGATTTCCCTTTGCTTCTTGGTACGAAAATATAGTCACTTCACACTTTGAAACTCGATTTTTGTATAACTTTGACGGTATTCTATCCATTCCATCAAAACAGCGTTAAGTAGTTGTTGTGTAAGGGTATTGCATTAATTCTGAACACCCGTCCACGCCTCTTGTTCTTCTCCAAGCCGGCTTTGCATGCTTAATTCTGAAGGTTTTCCAATGGCAGATTGGAGATGATTGTCTCCAAAAGCTCTCTCAGTTGACTCTTCCAAGCTAAACATGATGATGCGGCGGCGGAGGAGGAAGACGAAGATCTTCGATTGTTCTCGAAATTCCAAGAAATAAACCGCTTGATGCCGTATCCCCCCGCCAATTCTCATGTCATCTCAATATTGATTTCAAAGCCAGTTCCACCAAAAACCCCGCCCATGAATTAAAACTACAAATTAAGAGCTAGCTAGCATATGAAATTTGATTTTCTTATTGAGATTTGCAACAAGTTTGCAAGGTCATTCATATGAATTCACGTCTTTTCTTTATTAGGGCTTCCTCCAGCTTGTTTCTGATATGCCTTTTTATCTTGCGAGACCAGCTAGCTCATTGAGAATGATAAACACACAGAATTAAACCGGCAAGTCTCAGAACATGAAACTGCTATACAAAGAGTTTCGTTACTTCACGACTGCGACAGGAACAAGAACACAAAACCAGATATTACAGGCTCTATGATTCCAAATCAAAAAGTTTCGAGGATGACAAACTATCGATCAACTACTAAGCTAGTCTCAGCACACCCTAAATGCAAAATCCAACAGAAAGCCATTGCCTTTGGGAAGTTCATTTATCATTTATGAATGATCACAGGCTCTAAGTGGGTACGTAGCAATAAAACCTTCAGTCAGGTACATAATAAGGTTACGAGGCTCTGTGGCTGGCACGGCATCCACACCTTTCCCAAATATTAACCCAAGTAGAAGGCTTGTCAATGTCGATTCTCGGTGCTTTGTTGTAAAGTTTTGTTGCTACATCATTGATGATGCTCTGAGCCAAATAAACGAGTGACACAAATATAGACTGTAGTACACTTCCTAAAATGAATTTGGCATGTTACACAAAAATATGCTGCTTACTATTTACTAAGTCAATGCCAACAACCTGACCTGGGGCCCACAGAAGTTTGGTGCCTCACAAGGTGTTTATGGCGGCGAATAAAAATGCATTTTTTTCTTCTTCTTAAATAAACGATATTTTTTTTTACATTAAAGGAGAGATGGTAGACTTAGCCTCATCATAGATTATTAATAATGTGATTAAAACTCACATTTGACGAGAATTAAAAAATGCACCCTGTTTGTTTATCCATCTTTATTTGTTTGACGGCTTTGCCAAAAGTTTTTGGACGTGACAATCCAGGATTATGGCAATAAATTGGAAGGCTTTTGTGAGGAGATTTTAATGGGTATTTAATCGGTAGTCTATGTGTCATAATAAGAGTCTAATAAATTATATATTATATATGTATTTCCTATTTATTCTATGAAAAGTGGAGTATTTGTTTAAATACAAGATATTTAAAAAATCTGGAAAAGTAAAAAATAAGTTTGACGATATAAAGTGAAAACACTTGTGACTATATTTGACACAAAAACTTAGATGTGATTTGCAGCCCAAAAATCGTTTTATAGAAAGCACGTATAGGAACTTCGAAGAGGATTTTCAAAAGAAAAATGTAATTTATGATTCATACATAAGTTGTAGAGATATGAACCTATTATGACATTAATGCATCGTTAGTTCGTTACTGTAAAATCTTGTGTAAGCAACCACATGTATAAATTGTAATTAACAGAATGCTCTATCATTCACATGACAGTAACACACAAATGAATTGTGCAATATGTATCTAGAGATTTAGAGAATATTATTCGTTTTTATAGAAAGGAATAATGACACGTCACCAAAAAGTTCATGATCAGCGAAGAGAGTTAGTTAATTCTGAATAACCGTCTGAAGTCGGCGGCTACCAAGTGTTAAAGACTGGATTGGCCCTATACGCTTCCCTCCCATTTTGGTTCTCTGCTTCTCAGTTTAAAAACACCAGAGAGACTACAAATTCTCTTTGGAAATCGCAGTAGATCTAGGGTTTCGAAACCTGTATACAAAGCGCGATTTACTTTCAGCTGGTCATAATGCATACTGCACTGCTCTTGCAGTTCAGAGATTTGATGATCGGAGCTCAAATAGTTCAAAAGATTGACCAGGTTCGACAAGAAAATCGATTATTTTAACTTAAATCTTGATTTTATTTCGATTAATCTTGAATTTGATGAGAAATAGTACTGATAATCCCAATTAACTATAGGAAATGCAAGGATTTGGAGCCACGGAGCTCCTGATGAACTCGCATGAAAACGACAATCTCCGAATCACCAAGATCGAACGCGAAGCCGTCGATTCGCTGCTGATCGAGTCGGTTTTCCACGACAAGAAGCCTGCAGAGACCTCGAAGCTCATCCTCTGCTACAACTTCGAATCGCCGGACCGTGCGTCGGCAATTCTCTACGGAGAGCTCGGAAAGACGCCTTTGGAGTTTTTTTTTCATCACAAGAAGCCTGAATGCATGACTTATGCCAAGCGATCCGCGGAGGCCTCGAAGCTCATCCTACTCTGCTACGACGTCGAATCGCCGGACCGCGCGTTGGCATTTCTCGACAGAGAGCTCGGAGAGACGCCTTTGGAATCGCTTTTTCAAGATGCTAAGCCTGAATGCTTGACTCATGCCAAACGAATCATGGAGGCCTCGAAGCTCATCCTCCTCTGCTGAGAGGGAGCGACGCCGTTGGTGGACGAGTCCAGTAAATCGGCACTGCAAACGGCGGTCTTGCTCAAGAAATGCTTTCGTACGGACTTCGCGTCGGCTTTGCTCGGCGGAGAGATCGGAGTGATGCGGTTGGAGGAGTTCGATGAATCAGAGAAGTCAGAGCTGCAGACTGCGCTTGAGGTTCTGCTCCAAAACGACGATCGTACGGACCGGTAACATATTTCCTTGGCTTAGACCTCTTCTTTACTTATTAGTTTAATGAGAGTTAATTAACAAGTGACAAACCAGTTTGCTGTTAATTAATTATCTAATGATTTCAACAGCCTTTAATTAATTAATAACTGCCCCTCCTTTTGTACTTATTTTAACATTTACCTTTTTCTACTTATTTCAACATTTTAATTAATTAACTGTCTAATTAATTCACAAATGATGAAAAACCGTAATCGCCTTCTGATTTCAGCAGGATGGATGTGATTTGGGCACAACATGATTACACCATTGAGGGCTTGCTTGCTGTTGCTCTAAGTGGTTGTACGGAAAACAAGGTGAAATTCCTCAATTCTTTGTTTTTTGTTATTTTCTAAATACGATTAGACCATTTAATTATGATTAGTGTGATTGTTAGGTGAGTCTGGGCCTTAGGCCTTGCTTGTTGTCGTTGTTCATAATTGGGCCTTTGGCCTGGTATGTGCGGGCTTGGTGCTTTTTCCTTGCTTTAGTTTGAAGGAAACAATTTTGCTTCCCAAACAGCAGAACTCCTTGGGATTATTTGTTCACCTCTGCATATTTCTTTTGCAGCCCAAAATGTAGTAGCAACTTTAAGTTTTCATTGGAGCGATTAATATCGACTTTGTGCCAATTGGCAGGTCCTTGTATTGGCTGTTGCGGAATATGTTCACTACAATGCAAAAACTATTGACCTGATAAGTTCGCAAGATAAGCTTTTCATGTTGCTGAACAAGACCAGTGTTAGCCACTGTAAGTGCATCTTTGTAATGTTCCCTTTCTTATATTCTTCTGAAGGCATTTCAAAATGTGTATGTGGGGATATTGAAGCAACTGCACCAGTTATTATACCTTTGATTTGACATACTTTTGGTTTGCAATATAACAGGCCCCAATCAACATAAATGCCCTGCTTGTTCGCCAGGCCGCAAGATTTTCTCAGGCTCCTGCAATGCACTTCCGATCGTTACTGATGGTGACACTGCTACTGAAAGGTACGTTTAAAGTTGTTTGTTGTGTGATATCTGCTTCCGTGTGGCTGTGAGATCAGCACACAAGTGCTTGTGCATTTTATTGATTAATCTCTTAGTATGTTCTCTCTCTCTCTCACACACACGCATAGAGTTAATTAACTTAAATAAATTTTGATTCGTTCATGTTCCAGAACTTTGTGGCTCATTAAGCAACGTGCACGACTGTGTCAGAAGAATAAGATGAGAATAACATCTCTCGTTATGATCACGATGCTTGGTTGGATTCCCGGGGTAAAAGCTGCAGAAAAAAAATGCATCTGCATTGGTGCAGGGTAGTACAACCACCAGCACAGTGGTTTGTGTAATCATTGGAACGGTTGCCTCACTCTATTTCTCCTACAAAATTTTAGAATGGTTTATGTTGCCTCTACCTATGTTTCCTGAACCTGATTGGATTCTATTTAGTAGGAAGGTGAGGATCCGGACAGAGGGTTATATGGAGTCGGCTAAAATGTTTTTCGAATTATTTGATGAGGAAGATAAACGTGTAGGATCATGGAATTGTTCTTTTGTTACAGATGGAGATATAGTTGATATGGTTAGTTGGGGTACACATCTGTTTAACATGATGCTGCATATATTTGTGGAGCAGGAAGGTGGAGAACATGAGATCAGTTTTAATGAAATGGATCATCCTGACTTCATTAATACGGCCAAGGATGTGTACTTCCACATCCCCGATACCGGGCTATTACACTATATAGGAAGAAGCCCTCCTCGGAATGATTTAGCCGGTGAAAGGGAGATATTACGTAAACGGATTTGGGATGCACATGCTGATGCCACGCGCTGGTGAAGGCTAGGCTAGGGGTCTATACACGAACTACCAAGTCAAGCTAGGGTCTATACATGCACTTGTTAGTTCGTGTATAGACCCCTAGCATAGCCTTCACCAGCGCGTGGCATCAGCATGTGCATCCCAAATCCGTTTACGTAATATCTCCCTTTCACCGGCTAAATCATTCCGAGGAGGGCTTCTTCCTATATAGTGTAATAGCCCGGTATCGGGGATGTGGAAGTACACATCCTTGGGCGTATTAATGAAGTCAGGATGATCCATTTGATTAAAACCGATCTCCTGTTCTCCACCTTCCTGCTCCACAAATATATGCAGCATCATGTTCAACAGATGTGTACCCCAACTAACCATATCAACTATATCTCCATGTTCTGTAACAAAAGAACATTTCCATGATCCTACACGTTTATCTTCCTCATCAAATAATTCGAAGAACATTTTAGCCGACTCCATATAACCCTCTGTCCGGATCCTCACCTTCCTACTAAATAGAATCCAATCAGGTTCAGGAAACACTGGTAGAGGCAACATAAACCATTCTAAAATTTTGTAGGAGAAATAGAGTGAGGCAACCGTTCCAATGATTACACAAACCACTGTGCTGGTGGTTGTACTACCCTGCACCAATGCAGATGCATTTTTTTTCTGCAGCTTTTACCCCGGGAATCCAACCAAGCATCGTGATCATAACGAGAGATGTTATTCTCATCTTATTCTTCTGACACAGTCGTGCACGTTGCTTAATGAGCCATAAAGTTCTGGAACATGAACGAATCAAAATTTATTTAAGTTAATTAACTCTATGCGTGTGTGTGTGAGAGAGAGAGAGAACATACTAAGAGATTAATCAATAAAATGCACAAGCACTTGTGTGCTGATCTCACAGCCACACGAAAGCAGATATCACACAACAAACAACTTTAAACGTACCTTTCAGTAGCAGTGTCACCATCAGTAATGATCGGAAGTGCATTGCAAGAGCCTGAGAAAATCTTGCGGCCTTGCGAACAAGCAGGGCATTTATGTTGATTGGGGCCTGTTATATTGCAAACCAAAAGTATGTCAAATCAAAGGTATAATAACTGGTGCAGTTGCTTCAATATCCCCACATACACATTTTGAAATGCCTTCAGAAGAATATAAGAAAGGGAACATTACAAAGATGCACTTACAGTGGCTAACACTGGTCTTGTTCAGCAACATGAAAAGCTTATCTTGCGAACTTATCAGGTCAATAGTTTATGCATTGTAGTGAACATATTCCGCAACAGCCACTACAAGGACCTGCCAATAGGCCCAAAGTCGATATTAATCGCTCCAATGAAAACTTAAGTTGCTAATACATTTTTGGCTGCAAAAGAAATATGCAGATGTGAACAAATAATCCCAAGGAGTTCTGCTGTTTGGGAAGCAAAATTGTTTCCTTCAAACTAAAGCAAGGAAAAAGCACCAAGCCCGCACATACCAGGCCAAAGGCCCAATTATGAACAACGACAACAAGCAAGGCCTAAGGCCCAGACTCACCTAACAATCACACTAATCATAATTAAATGGTCTAATCATATTTAGAAAATAACAAAAAACAAAGAATTGAGGAATTTCACCTTGTTTTCCGTACAACCACTTAGAGCAACAGCAAGCAAGCCCTCAATGGTGTAATCATGTTGTACCCAAATCACATCCATCCTGCTGAAATCAGAAGGCGAATTACGGTTTTTCATCATTTGTGAATTAATTAAACAGTTAATTAATTAAAATGTTGAAATAAGTAGAAAAAAGTAAATGTTAAAATAAGTACAAAAGGAGGAGCAGTTAATTAATTAATTAAAGGCTGTTGAAATCATTAGATAATTAATTAACAGCAAACTGGTTTGCCACTTGTTAATTAACTCTCATTAAACTAATAAGTCAAGAAGAGGTCTAAGGCAAGGAAATATGTTACCGGTCCGTACGATCGTCGTTTTGGAGCAGAACCTCAAGCGCAGTCTGCAGCTCTGACTTCTCTGATTCATCGAACTCCTCCAACCGCATCACTCCGATCTCTCCGCCAAGCAAAGCCGACGCGAAGTCCGTACGAAAGCATTTCTTGAGCAAGACCGCCGTTTGCAATGCCGATTTTCTGGACTCGTCCACCAACGGCGTCGCTCCCTCTCGGCAGAGGAAGATGAGCTTCGAGGCCTCCATGATTCGTTTACCATACGTCTAATTATTTGCCACGTGTCATTTCACTTAGCTCTAGATAAGTTTCACATTAGATATTTACTTTTTCAATTTTGAAAAAAATTAACCAAAATTAAGTGAAAAGACACGTGTCAGATGATTAGATGTATGATGGGCATACACCATAGTTAGTTATGATGGTGAGCAAAAATGCTCCTATAAACCTATAACCCTAACTAGTGGTTTCCTTATAGGTTGTGCTAGAGAGACTAAACGTTTAAACTAAATTTGCAAACTAAACAATGTGTCACCAATAAAAAATAAACATATTAATCAACACTTAAGTAATAATCCAATAATCAAGAACCACAATTCATTTAGTTTAAAAAATTTAACCTTCCATTACTCTTTTCTTATTATTTACCAATAATGCTCGTAAAACTAAATTTGTAGATAAAATTTACAAACTAAATGATGTTCACAAATATAAAATTAACACGTTTATCAACACTTAAGTAATAATCCAATCATCAACTTATGTCATTTGATTTACAAAATTTTATCTACAAATTTAATCTCTATCGTTACTCTTACCCTAATATTTCTTTTGTTAAATATACATATATCCAACTATTTAATCAATTTTCTGCATAATTTTAGTAGCGGCTAAGAGAAAATGTAATTAGACCACAATATCAAACCACATGATGCGGCTGATAGGGTGGCCATGCCACATTATATTACCAATTATTTAGATTGCCGTTGCAATGTCACCAGCTAATTCTATTTTTTAAGGTAACAAAATATCATAGCACAATTTAGATGATGATCCGAAGACATAAAGATGGTCAAAACATGGATGAAGTTCCCACAGAAAGAAAGAAAAAAAAGATGTCAAACCGGCTATAACAAAACAAAAATCCTGTTTCCCTCACAACATATTGCAACATCCCTTTCAACTAAACCAAATTGGAACCTAAAATTATAGAATTTGGTAGTGCCCGTGCGGTTCTAAGAAATCTGTAGCTCATGGTGTAACCACAATCCGCCCGGCAACTTGGTCAAGATCGCGTTGACCGCTAGATGTGATTCTCCTCCCTCTGTCACAAGTTCAAAGTTCAAACCAAAGGTCAAAATTCAAGCAAATGTTAGCTATACACAAGCTGCTCTTGAAAACCAGTTTATAGATGATATATCAAAGCAGCACTCACCCCTTTGGGTCAACATCAACGATGTTCATTTTCTGTAACTGTTGGAGAATGTGTCGGGCAATGGCACCACTGCTCTTGCAGAAATGTGGTGGACGACTTCCATTCCTCTGGCTTCCACCATAAATCCTGCGGAAGGCACCAACACCCAGTCCTCCCCTCAAGTAGATCTTCCTTGCCATGGAGGCTGCACATTATTGAAAGTCACATTGTCAATACCACAAACAACAAACAATTTGAGAAACATACACAAATAAGTACAATGACAATCAAAAGCAAAAGAATGCTCACCAGCTCTGACATAGTACCAGTCAGGATCATAAGGAGCCAACTCCTTGAATCTTGCGGTCTTAACGATATCAGTCCATGGAGGAAGCTCAACCTGCTCACAAAAATCAAAAGAACAAGCAAATTGCAAAGAATTACAGAAAATTACACCTCCAAAATATTTGAAAATCCTAACTGAACCAAAACTCAACAACCGTACATAAAATGAACAGAGCAGCTTCCTAAAGAACACAACAAAAATCATCCAGAACAGCATAATCTACCACGAGATCTCACTACTTCGAAAAGATTTGTACATTACAAAATTGTTATTAGTTTATAACACCGTGACCACCAAATCAAAAAATTATTTTCAGGCAAAAATAAAGATGAAAAAAATGAGAAAATCGATTAAATACACGACCGACCATAACAAGGCAATGATTCAAACATATACATAGCATAATCTACCACTGTACATAAAATGAACAGAGCAGCTTCCTAAAGAACACAACAAAAACCATCCAGAACAGCGTAATCTACCACGAGATCTTATTACTTCGAAAAGATTTGTACATTACGAAACTGTTATTAGTTTACAACACAGTGACCACCAAATCAAAAAATTATTTTGAGGCAAACAAAATACACGAAAAAAGAATGAAAAAACCGATGAAATACACGACCGACCATAAACAAGGCAATGATTCAAACATATATATAGCCCAATAAGGTAAATTAGACGATTCATAACAAGTTGGAAATGCATTAGCCACGAAATACCAAACTAATCACAAATCAGCTACCATTTCAACAAAATAGTGTACAGTTCGTCATTTGTCTAGAAACAATAGTTAATTACAAGCAATTGAGCATCATTTTCGGTGAGTTTTCTATTAATTTTCCACCATTTTCTCGGAATCCAAACAAGGGGTGTAGTAGACTAGACACAAGTCAGCCACGATTTCAACAAAGTAGTGTAAATGTTCAAACTTTCTATCATTTTTCTAAAACATAGATAATAACATCAAGGGCGAACGGGTTTAGTTTCCTAAGAAATTTTCTAATGGTTTTCCATCATTTTCTCGGAATCGAAACAGGGGGTTTAGTGGAAATACCTTGCCAGATCGCTTCAGATGGGCGGCGTAAGCCTTGACAAATTCGTGAGGGGAGACATCCTTCACAGTTTTCGCAGTCGCCATTGCTGGAAATCAGAGAGAAGCAATGCGAGCGCCTATGAGCTGATGGGATATAAAACTGAGGAGGCCGACGAAGAAGATGGCTCTCTCTCTCTCTAGGGTTTCTCGTTCGGCTTTCGCAGTATATTTATAGCTCTTTCGTTCTGTCGATTTGGGCCGCTTTATTTGAGGCCCAACTTCTAAGTTTCACCCAAAATAATGGGCCTCTGAAAAGGCCCAATTTTGCGAACGACGTCGGAATAGGTGTTTCGTTGCTTACTTGAGCAGCTGAGCCTCTGGAACACAGTTCGCAGTTTCCCCCAAACCGAAACCCTAGAAGGCCTCTGACAGAGACAGCCATGGCAATGAAGCACCTTCTTACAACCCTAGCTCGCCGACGGCCCCACAGACCGCCGGCTGCCCTAACAGCAGCCGTTCGATCCCAGTCAACCTCACCCGCCGTCGCCACGTCATCTTCATCCCCATCCCTACCCTCCCCTCCTCCACCAACCGCCATGGTCTACGATCGATTGGCCGAGGAAGTCAAATCGAAGATCAAAAGGCTCGAGAATCCGGACCCGAGGTTCCTCAAGTACGGGTCGCCCCACCCGAGTCTCACGGACCACAGCCACATCCTCACCGCACCCGAGACACGTGTCACCACGCTCCCCAACGGCCTCCGGGTTGCCACCGAGTCGAACCTCGCGTCTAAGACCGCCACCGTCGGGGTCTGGATCGACGCCGGGTCAAGGTTCGAGAACGACGAGACCAACGGCACCGCACATTTCTTGGAGCACATGATCTTCAAGGGGACGGAGCAGAGGACCGCCCGTGATCTCGAGGAGGAGGTCGAGAACATGGGAGGCCATTTGAATGCGTACACATCGAGGGAGCAGACCACGTACTATGCCAAGGTGCTCCATTCGGATGTGCCAAAGGCGCTTTCGATTTTGGCTGATATCTTGCAGAACTCCAAGTTCGATGATGACCGGATTTTGCGTGAGCGCGATGTGATTTTGAGGGAAATGGAGGAGGTAATCTCATAAAAATTAAAACTTTTTGGACAAATGGGGTATTTGGGTTGTTTGGATTTTCGGGTATTAGTGAATTTCCATGTTAGTTTGAATTTAAATAATATTCAAAGCAACTTGATTTATATGAAAGTTGTGAACTTTATTGAGAAAATGTTTCTAGATATATGCATTGATTATGTACACTCTTTAAACTTGAACGGGACATTTTGCTGTAGCTTGCGAAAACTTACTGTATTGACTTTATGAAAAACATTGATAGGATAGGGATCCGAAAACTAGGGTCATACAAAGAGTTGAGGTAGCTATTAAAAGTAATATACATTAGGCAAAATTGTTCCTTACAGTTTTCAAATAAATGTTTATATCATTGCTTTGGTAATGCAGGTTGAGAAACAACCCGATGAAGTCATTTTTGACCATCTGCATGCAACTGCATTCCAGTACTCTCCTCTAGCCAGAACTATTCTTGGACCGTCTGGCAACATTAAGACCATCTCGAAAGAGCATCTTCAGAACTATATCAAAACACATTACACTGCTCCCAGAATGGTAATTCAAGATTTATGAATTTTTGTTCGTGCAATATAGTAAAGCATGCAGCTGGTGTTGTCGTTGTCCTTTGGCATTACTTTACATGACACATTGATAATGAGGAATTTGTTTTCACAAGTGACCGTCCTGAGCTTAACTGGTTCTATTTTAGGTTATTGCTGCTTCAGGAGCTATTAAGCATGAAGATCTTGTTGGTTCAGTTAAGGGTTTGTTTACTAAACTGTCCGGAGATCCTGCCACAGCCAGTCAGTTGGTTGCGGAAGAACCTTCATTTTTCACTGGTTCTGAGGTAATGCTTGTATCCTGGAAAAGTAGCCATTATCTACTATTTAATGGGTTTACTTTCTCTTATAATATTCATTTCTATTAATGTTGTGAAAATCAGGTCAGAATTGTGGATGATGACTTGCCCTTGGCACATTTTGCGGTTGCATTCAGTGGAGCATCTTGGACAGATCCAGACTCTATTCCTCTAATGGTCATGCAGGCAATGTTGGGCTCATGGAATAAAAATGTTGGTGGTGGAAAGCACATGGGGTGAGCACTTTACATGGTTTTCAACTTCTGTAGATTGGATATCTGATATTAACTTTTAAGAGTTTATCTCTTTGAAAAACAGCAATGATTAGTTTTGGCTGCTTTCTTTGTAAACAGTTCAGAACTGGCACAGAGGGTTGCCATCAATGACATTGCAGAAAACTATATGGCTTTCAACACCAACTATAAGGATACTGGTTTATTTGGTGTTTTTGCTACTGCTAAGGTGAGGGTGCCATCTGTAATAAGAAACATTATTTCAGCTTGATTACTTAGTTTCAACAAATTTTGGACTTCTTATTCTGGTCTGTAGTACCATTGTTCTTACTCGAGATTTGTATCAGCTGTTTGAGACTAGATGAGCTTTCCAGGATTAGGACTTGGCATTAATTTTTTATGTTGAACACCAAGGAGGAGTTGTGCACTTTGGAAGGAGTTAGTGTATTTTTATTTGGGAAAGGAAGAGGGAAAGTGGGAGGAGCCGCGATCACCTAACCAATTCTCTCTCTCCTCTTCTCGCTCTCTATCTATTTCTTTCTTCCCCCCCCCTCTCCCTCTCACTTTGAATAGGGACTAGCACATATTTATTTATACATTACTAACTGCTCATATTAATTTACTGCTGACTCATATTGTGTCTTCTTTTAATTCCAGGAGGATTGCTTAGATGATTTGGCCTATGCAATAATGTATGAGGTAACCAAGTTAGTTTATCGAGTTTCAGAAGCTGATGTTATTCGTGCGCGCAATCAGGTATTGCTAGATCTCTCACTCTGTCCTGCTCCTAAATTCATGCTTTCTAAATCTATTATACTTGTTTGTATTTTTGTATTGTTGTTGGTATCCAATACATTCATGTTCTCATTTGGTCGTTACATGTTTTTGAACATTTGATAAATAAGTTGCCACTTACCCTTGTTCCTTTTCTGGCAGTTGAAATCTTCTCTCCTTCTCCACTTGGATGGGACAAGTGCTGTAGCTGAAGATATTGGACGCCAGGTACCTTTACCTTCTCATAGAGAAATAATGATGAGAGCAATCAGGGTTGAGCACTGGAGTTGCTAATTGGATCCAATCACCGGAGAACTGAAATGTTTACCGAACCTTTTCTTAAGCTTATGAATTAGTACAGTTCTATTAGTTACGAGATACTAAAAGGGAAATAAGAACCTAGTGCTTCTCATAGAAGCTCTTCATTGCATCCCCTGAAACGGGCATATGTTCACTGGCTGCTCCATTATCGTCATCAAAGACTTGAAAACTGTTGCTGATAGTTGTTTTCTAGTGTTTGTAGGAGTAGAGTGCAAGAAATAATGTGTCGTACTCGAAGCTGATTATGTTTATTTTATTTTGATTTGTGGTTTTGCAGCTACTTACATATGGTCGAAGAATCCCATTAGCCGAGATGTTTGCTAGAATCGATTCTGTTGATGCAAGCACCATCAAACGTGTTGCAAACCGGTTTATCTATGACAGGGTATGACTACAATCTGTTGCTGCACTTGTCCCAAGTGCAAATACATTAGACTCTGTTCTAAAAACCTCGTATATCATAGAACTGAACACTTATACTTATGTTTGTTGCTTGCTCTCATCAGGATATTGCAATTGCAGCCATGGGTCCCATTACAAAATTGCCCGACTACAACTGGTTCAGACGCCGCACCTACTGGAACAGATACTAAGCTCCTAGTTTCTCTTTCCATTGATTATTTCATAATTGCCCTTCACGATCGATCTGGTCTTGGAATATTGTGTTGCTTTTATGCAATTTAATCATCGGCCTCGGAGAGAGCTATTGAAGGCCGGTGTATTTTTGTTCCCCCCAACCGCCGCCCCCAAAATATGTTATAGATTCTCTCACTGTTAGTAACATTTGCATTTCCTTTATTAAGCGTCGACGACTGCGAACGAATGTGATTTGCCGGATAAAAATTTTCCAAATGTGTTTGTACTGGTCTCTGAAATTTGTGAATAAAACTTAAAATTTATTTGGTTTACCGAACGGTCGAATTGGTAGCTCAATGTCGCTTTGTTGCATGCTGCCTACTCGGAAGGTCGAAATTGTTTTCTCAATTTGGTAATTTTTGTTCGGAAAAATAGATGGCTTTACTTTAATTTGGCTGTTGCGCAGACAACAGCATCGTTTGAGGCCTGCGATTGAGTTCGAAGTACCTCCTGTCTTGTCAAAAGCCATCGACAAGTTTAAAGCTTTTTTGTCTTGTGATGATTGGATTGCCTGCCTACAAAGGGCTAATAGGAATGTATTTTTGCTCATCACATTTTTGTAATGGAGGAGTATTGTTCAATTTGTGTGTTTACCAACGACTAAGGATTTCAGTGGGGCTCGAAAAAGCCAAAAGCATTTCAGTCCATTTATGATCACAGTTAAATGATACACATCGTCTCAAGAATTTCAACCAAGGAATTATTCATACTTTTGCTAGCTTTCTGCCTCAAACCCAATATCATAGAGCATACCTAACCTGAAATCTTACCGCATTTCCACCAGATTGCTTGCCGTGGTTACTACATACTTTACTCTTGGTTATTATCCTTTCTTCTCTTTAAAAAAGTTGATCATTTGTTATATGAGAATCAAACTGATGAATATTGAATAAGAAAACTTGAAGTTTTCAGTGTAAGGGCCTTAAGACTATCTATTAACATATAGAGAGATTTTTTAGTGTATTCAGAACGCGGGGCAGAACAACACATGTCATTATACAATTGGAGGAACACTTTAAAAAAAAAAAAAATCCTCCAATTGTACATACGGTGTTCCATCCCATTTTCCGGTCACAAAAAAATCACTCCAACACATGAAGGCTTACAAATTTTGCCACTAGTATGTCCAGTATATTTATTGAAATGAAGTGATACCCATATTGCATTTATTAAATGGGCTAATTAATCAATTAAACAGTAATGATTTGCTGGGATGGAAATAGGAGGAAAAATATCATTTCTAGATCTCTTCCATTAAGATCACCGGATCAAGTAATCCAGACCTTTGAAATTTTATTTAATAACAAAAAATTATTATAGCTTTTAAATGGTCAAAACAGATAGATCGTTGGATGAAATTTCAAAAATTCAGATCACTTAATCCGATGATCTTGATGAAAGAAATTCTGAAAGCGTCTCTTTCCGAAATAGGATAGTCATGATTTGATAAATGGTCAAAAAGATGAACAGCCAACGGACACCACCCAAACCTTTGGAGAGTTGGAGGGAAACCCTACACATTTGTCACTACTGTCAATGTAGATATGTAGGGCTGTAGGGGTAGGGCTTTCTAGAGAGAGAAATAGGGGAGAGAGAGAGAGAGAGGCGCGTGAGTTGTTAGCTGTTAGTTGAAGAGGGTGGGTGTTTCAAATGGCCTCTCTCTCCTCTCTCTCTCTCTCCTCACATTGTAAGTATCGGAAAACAAAACAAACACATTGTGATTAAGTGAAGAAAAATACACATAACATTGAACATCCAGTCCCTTCCTCCCCTCTCTCAGATTTCTCAGTCCCCAATACCCAAACAAAAACCCACCTCTTGGATCTCATCGCCCCCCCATACCCTACAAATTTCCCATTTCCCATTCCCTTGCCGCTTCAGATCCCACCTCCCCATTTCCCCATTCCCAATTCCCCATTCAGCCACCTCTGCTTTTGCTTTGCTTCACACTACACTCCAATGGCTTCCTTCACTGTTCCCTGTCCCAAGGCTTGCTCCACCCCCGTTACCCGCCTCGGCTCCTCCGCCCAGCCGTCGCAGCCGCAGCAGTACCTCCTCTCCTTCCACAACTGCCTCAATCGCTGCCCCATTCCCTCTCTGCAGATTTCTGGCCTTCAGGTTTGATTAATTCCGCTTACCCTTTACTTTTTTAAGCTTTGTTTGTTTAAATTTCATTGCTTTTTGTGTTTTCATGGTTGAATTTTGTATTTTGTCCAATTGGGTATATGTTTGTATGGGTTGTATATCTTCATTTCTGAAGCTTCTCGAATATAAAAGTAATAAATTGAAGTTAACACGTGGGAAATGTTGTTGGTGTGCATTGAAATTCATTTTGAAGAATTGATGGTTGTATCACTGTTAGGATTTTGATTGAGCTGTGACCCGGTAATGGCTTGTCTTTGGATTAAACCAGCAAGCTTCTCCAACCGACAAATGATTTGCTTTTGCTATGATCATACTCTATGTTTTCATTTTCAATAGGTTTTTAGTAGCAGTGACTGTTCTACGTATCGCAATCTGGATTTTACGTCAAAGGTTGCAGCTATTAATTGTTTTCTGATCATATGGTTAACTCGTGTAGAGCTCTGTCAGGAAGCAATCTTCTTCCTGGAAGGTGCAGGCACAGCTTAATGAGGTAAAACTGTTTGGAGTCAGTGTAGTAGGTGGGATTTGGAACGTCGTGTGTGAAATTATAATTGATTACTTTCTGAATCCAAAGGTTGCAGCTGAGAAATCTCCAAATTCTGTACCCATAAACAAGAAGAAGTCTGAAGATGGATCATCGGAAGGGAAAGGCGAGTCTTCCAGTCAAACCAATATTCCAGATGCAGCATCAATTTCCGCATTCATGGCTCAAGTATCAGACCTTATTAAGTAAGTTGCGCGAATTTTGCTTGTAATTGGTTTCCATATACCGTCAACTACGTTTTGGACGTCAATTATTTTCATTAACGTGATACCATTTTTGTGAGCAGGTTAGTGGATTCGAGAGACATTGTGGAGCTGGAAATGAAGCAACTAGATTTAGAGCTTGTGATTAGAAAAAAAGAAGCATTGGCGCCACCACCACCAGCTCCAGCTTCCCAACAACCAGCACAATATTATTCCATGCCACCACCTCAACCAGCAGCACCAGCAGCAGCAGCTCCTGCTCCAGCACCCGGTCCACCAGCACCTGCACTACCCGCCCCTGCAAAGACAAGCACATCATCTCACCCTCCACTGAAATGCCCCATGGCTGGAACCTTTTACCGCTGTCCTGGACCTGGTGAACCACCTTTTGTTAAGGCAAGTGTCTTTACTTTTACTTATCTATAAAAGCTTGAGTTCCAAGAGATATGGGAGATGACAAAACAATTTATTTTTTATTTTTTATTATTTTATCAGACACCTGAATTTGTCCTAATTGTTTACTCAAATAAATGTGCAGGTTGGAGATAAAGTTCAGAAAGGTCAAGTCATTTGCATCATTGAGGCCATGAAATTGATGAACGAAATTGAGGTTCGTTTTTACTTTGCTTTAATTGACGTTATGCGCTGATTACGGTTTTACCTTCATTGGAAAATGTTCTCAACTAATTGTTCCTTTCATCCTTCTACAGGCTGATCAATCTGGAACCGTTGCTGAGATACTGGTAGAAGATGCGAAACCAGTCAGTGTAGACACGGTAAGTAATCTTAAAACCTCTCGTAAGTACTCTCGATCAATCTGTTTATCTAAGAAATTTGTCTGCTTCTGTGCAGCCTCTTTTTGTCATAGTACCTTGAGAGAGTTGAGCAAGGTTCGGAAGAATTTTTTTGAAGCTTTTTGGTGATAAAATTACGTTTCGGACATTTATCTTCTCTTGTAACTTAAATAATGTTTGTTTCAGTTTCTGGAAAAATCGTCGAAATTCCCAATTTTTAGAGTTTTAGGGACGGGCCATGGTGTGTTATCAGAGATGTCAGGCAATGTGCTTTCCTGAAACGTAATTTTATGCCTTCTTTCTTCAAGTCATTTTTAGAAATTATGCATGAAGCTTTCCTACGCACAAGTTCCCTTTTAATTATTTTGCTAGATATAAAATTATTTTACATACATTCAGCTTCTTCTTTGTTTGCAACGTGCTTTGTTCTAAGGGAAATACTTCCCATGTGCTTCTTGGTAGCTGGTTTGGTATTGCCCGTGCTTTGAAAAAAAACAATTTCTGTTATGCTGGAAAAATAAGCTCATTTTTGCTGCTTCACGTTTTCAGCTTTTTTTTCACCTGAAACTGTGAAAATAAGTTGTTTTGAAGTGTTTACCAAACATCTTTTTGAACTTAGCTTTTTTTTATACCCACTTTTTATAAAAGCACCTCAGTACCAAACCAGTACTAAGTGATTTTAAGGAAAATACTTCCCCCATGTGCTTCTCCATAGTCATCTATTTTTAGATGATTTTGTGAGAAGCAGCTCATGCTTTCTGACCCTCCCAAATCACTTTCCATACGACCCCATGTAAATGTGTTTTAGATTGATTTCTAAGTTATGTCTAAGAAATGCATATCATCGGGCTGTTTGCGACTGCTTCTGAATGACCAAAAGCCATTTTTGAAATCAAACCTGCTGCTACATCGACAAAAAAGTTGACGATTTGATGAGACGGATGGATTTCATTCACAAAAGAATGCGGTCGATATACGCTCTCGTGGGCGAATTACAAAATACGGAAACAGTAAGAGAGTTCACGCTACTCTACTGGATTTCTCTACCGTTTCCAGAAATCTAGTTTTTCCGTCGTCGTATCACCCCTCTCTATTGCTATTCCTTTCTCCTACAACATTTACAAGTTAGCCTACCTGTAATGTACTACTATAACCGCTGTCGACTTCTAATACCGTAGCCACCTCTCCTTCCAATATTACTCGGCCTCCGAGCCCCGCCTGAATAATCCTCATCGTCATCATCGCCCTCGTCATCTCCCCCCACAGATTTCCGCCCTTTTCTGGGGGCCGGCCGTTTTCTCTTGATGTTTGCAGTGTAAGTTGAGAAATCAATCGTATCCTCCCTCAACGCATTCTTGAATTCCTGTACAACATCGATATCAGTAAGAATTTATGCACGGACATGATTGCTAGCATCCACACACACAGAGAGTCTCACAGCTCACCGTACCGTACCTGATATCTTTGAACCAATTCTTGATAAGTTGTTGGCAAATTGGTGCGGGTATCACTGAGGTCGAAAGGAATGTTCTGCCTGGAGAGTACATCTCCCGGTTTAAGGGGTTCGCCCGGAGAAAAAGCCTGGT